ACACACTCGCTTGGTATATGATTTGCACATATGGGTACCTAATTAAAAAGGTTCCTAGCAATTACATTGGCTCTTTGCATGTTGATCTTGAATAGTTGTCTGTGGGCCTGCAATGAATCAGGAAAATTGATTACGGCTGTGCTCCTTGAACTGTGTGTAACGTTTGGACTCTTGCATTTTTACTTCTGTTTAACCTTGGGTGTAATATTGATGCGTCATATTCAGAATTTGCTTTCTAATTATGGACAGCAACATGGGTGGATGTCATACAATGCTCTAAGAACTGGTATGACTGCCACATATAGACTGCTTTACTGAAGAAGGGTGAGGGAGTGGAAAAGGGCTCCCAGACACTTTCCTTTTTGCTGGGTTGGGGTTAAACAAGTACCTAATTAAAATTTTTTCTAGCAATTACATTGATTCTTTGCATGACGATCTTGAATACTTGCCTGGATGCCTGCGATGAATCAGTAAGATTGGTTATGGCTGTCCTCATAGTGCTTATAATGTTTGAACGCTTGCATTTTTTCTTCTATTTAATCCTAAGTGTAATATTAAAGTGTCATATTCAGAATTTGCAAGAGAGGAACTTGGATGGGAGTTATGAAACTGTATTTTACCAGACACCGTCACTTTCACACATTGATGGCAGATGAAGTGCAAAGGAACAAACGAGGACATGAAGTAGACATTACAGTGTTGTTCAATATTTCTGTATTCAACATTCACTATGTGGAACCAACTAGCCTGCCTTAATATTTTCTAAGAAGGTCAGCTTCTGCCCCAACCCAGCGTGGCCACTGAATCCGGCACACTTTAGGAGGTGCTGCAACATTCAAAATGGTGCTGCCCACGAAAAAAATGGTCTATATGCATGCACTAAACCAATCTGAAGTTGGATAAAGAAATTAAGAAAGTAATTTACAAAGGAACCTTATGTGGCTGTCTTTAAAAACAAACAACAGGAAATCGGTGTTGGTTAGTCTTCTAAAAGGTGTGCCATTGAAATGTTGCATACAATGCAACATTGCATTTACAGTTTGTATTGTTTCAGTTTATTGATATTTATAAATTGTTTCTGGATAAACCTGGAAACATGCTTCTGACTGCTGTAACAGTAATGTAATCACTGAAGCTTTCATATATATACTATATAGGTGTTCCATGTAACTTGAGCCAAGGTTTAAAAATATTTTGGTGCATTTTAGGAAAACGAAACCAAACGAATAAGTTTGTTAATTGTTTGGAGCAAGTTGGGCTATTTGTTGTATTTTTCCCAATTAATTCCTTAAATTAATGAATAAACTATTGAAATATTTTATTGAGAGCAACAGTTCCAGTGACAAAGTAATAAAGCACCCTCAGAAACATCCAATTCAGTGTTTTTTTTATCGAGAAACCCTAACGCCTTTTTTTTAGGGCCTCGAACAAAGATTCTGAATTATGAAAAAAATGTGTGACTTTGCCCATGTGCACCTTCTATTGCAGCGCTTTCAGTCATGGCTTGAATAAACTAGGCCTGCATGCTGAGTAGAGCACTGTTGGCTTGGCACTGTTGACAAATTTGTTTTTTTTTTTATGATTCGGGCACGTTTTTTAAACCTTGAAAAACTAATTCTGTTAGAGGTTTCTTGATAGAAACCACTGAATTGGATGATGTTTCTTAGGACGTTCTACAACTTTGCCATTGGAATTTTTGCTCTAAATTGAATATTTAAAATGTTTAGTAATTAATTTTAATTAATTTGGGAATTGGAAAAAATGCAAAAATTAGCCTGAGTTGCTCCAAACAATGAACAACCTTATTCGTTTGGTTTCATTTTCCTAAAATGCACCAAAATATTTTTAAACCTTGGCTCAACTTACGTGGAATACCCTGTATATATATATATATATATATATATATATACACACTGTCAATACCGGGCAACCGCCCACTCAAAATTTAGAGATAATCGAGAAAAAATGGGGGATGGGCCTTGTCTGGTCATCAATTTTACATATTATTGTACTGTGCATATTTTCTGCAATCTTGCATATTTGGGAATGGGTGCTTAATGTGAAATGGGCGGATCCGTGGTATTCTACGGTACCGGGTATATATATATGGGCATGTTGGCTTGGAGGCCGAAGGCATAGAAAACAGGGATGTAGAGATGGTGGAAAACAAAACAGGAGAATTTATTCGACATTTCAACCTGAGGCAGGTCTTCTTCAAAGACCTGCCTCGGGTTGAAACGTCAAATAAATCCTCCTGTTTTGTTATTTTGTTGTTAAACTCATTTTCATTCCTGATTTGGAACATTGGAGACTGCTTTTCTAAAACTTCTAACTGAACATATGTGGAGTGTTTCTATATCTCATTTTTCATTAGGTGCTGAAATGTTAGCAAGAAGGTTTAGTGACTTATGAATCGGCCTTGTGTTTCTATACAAACCATAAATCTCTTGGAATTTTGACATAAGTTATGTCTGTCTGAATCAGCTGAACAAGCTGAACTAGTTCAGCAACTGGCACATATAATTTGACCAAAAGTTCATAACTTTTCACCAAAATTAACAAACCTATACTATCAGCAATATTTGCTTCAGTGTAATACAGTAATACTAAGTGGTCCCCCCCCCCCCCCCCCCCCCCCACCTCCCCAACATGTCTTGCCCCTGGAAAATTTTAGCTTTACTGTTATCTTTATTAGACCCACCTCTTGCACACCGACCGAATGAAACGATATGAAAAAGGGGGGGGGGGGGGGGGGGGGGGGGGGGGATTTATGCTAACATTTTTTCAGAGGCAGAGTTGAAGTTTCACCTGGTGAAACTCATCAGTAAAATACACTTTCTAGGTTCACTATACTAAGGAGTTGCTTTGATGCAGTATCACTGTATTTCAGAACTTGCAAGTGTGCATACAGAGCACACACTTGAGCTCGATGGAAGGTAGCTTTGGGACCAAACCCTGACGAGGTGGACAGCAAAGGAATCTCCGCATCTTGGTACATGTTGTTCATTCTTTGTTCCTGCATATTGGATGACTGTAAAATCAGTGAAATGTGTGCAGAATCTAAAATGACAAAGCCTGTCTGTTACAGGTATGGTTGATGATGCTGAGTGCACATGAGTGATTCCAATAAATCTGCATTTTATTTGTTTGTGCGTGTGCCAATAGCTGCTTGCATCATAGCTAAGACACGGTTGCATTTGCAGCTGGGAGCAGTAACATTGCTGGACTGGAAGCAATCATAGTATCTTCAAACATGAAGGAGAATCTGGAGATTATCTTTGGAGTTTTTCTTTTGTGATCTGCTATTTTTACTTTTTTTATGTGTCGTAAAGACAATGTCAAAATTATTCTAATTTGTGTGTGTGGCAAGAAGGTTGCAATGACATCATAACACCTAGTTTTGATTGGAAGATTGCTCTGGAGAGACGCTGCTGTTCCCCACGATTAAGCAGAGATGCTGGTGGAAGACACGTGCTTGCCAGTGTCATCTTTTTTATAAATTGCTTTTGTCTAAATTGAGACTCTGCTTTCTTTAAATCAAGCTTCGATGAACTGTGCCCATTCACTAAAACGGGTTTCGATGAAATGTTGTTTGATCACCGATAGTAAATCCCAAATTGTGGGTCCCAATAGCATCTGTTCAGTGAAACAAACTTGTCAGCATGAAACAAGGCAAGGTGGAGCGCAATTTTGTCTGCTTCTTGCATAGGATGACGTCAGAATGCCAAGCTCTGATTGGCTCCGATTGCCATTCTCCCAAAGAGCCAATCAAAGCTCGGCGTTCTAACGTCACCGCAGCCACTCCACAAGATAGCAGACGAACTTGCAATCCACATATTCTCTTTTTAATGGCGAGTGTTTTTTACCGATATAAATTCCACAATTGCCCAGACGCCCATTGCGGCTGACTAGCACACACACATTTTTTGTTTTGACAATATTAATTTGCTTGCAGTTGTAATTACCTCTTTTTATGTCGAAATTAGTTTTAATCATTGACATCAATTTTTTAGTGACTTCATCAACTGCAGATCATTTTCTTTTCTTTCGATTGTCGCTGTGGTTGGACTCAAAAACGTACATGCAAATGCGAGGAGGTGAAGAACGCTGGAGAGCCCCTCCCGTGAGGCTATCGAGTAGGGGTAGGGCCGGGTGCCTCGGGATAGCGCTGCCATGAAGGCATCTTGCCTGAATATACAGTCCTAAAAACAATTTTTTATTGATACAAACATATTATATTATCTATAAGGTAGTTTAGAAGTAACAGATGGTCTAGTAAACAAATATTGTTGCACGGAAAGCGATTGGGCGCCGCGGAACAGTTCAGACATGTAAGCAATGCGAGTAGATTTGCCGAGGAAGCTTTGATCACGCTTCGAGACCGTCAAAACTTCGTTTAGACGAGTTGTGCTTTTTTCCTGCGGCATTGCGCTTCCATAAAAATTTCCAAGTGTTCTCAACGGCAGGTTTCACGGCTTGCACATGGTTTTAAAGAACTTCTTCGGCGAATGACGACGAACGAGGAGAAAAAATGTCTGTTCAATGCGCTGCCGCCAGCCTCTGCAACGCTCCAAAAACGCGATTTTTTTTTTTTTTTTAGATGCAAGATGGTCGTTTGGTTAAAGTTACGTTCGGTGCCGCTGCAGCGACCAAGCGGGGCAGTGGTCTCTGCCGAAACTTATGTTGGACCGCAGCGAAGGGTCTATCCACACTGTGGGTCTATCCGCCCTTTCCTGCGGTAAAGGGTGGATAAATGAATCCGGCTGAGCCCTTTGAATCGGGCGGTAGCTTGCGCTACCTAGCCGTTTTGTTTTACAACTTAAGCTTAGAATATTTAAATGTGAAATTTATATTCACTCCGCACTGCAAAGAAAGTGAGGCTATAAAACTCCCTTGCCATCAGTTAATAAGAAAATACTTAGTTTTCTTTTGCTTTCTGCCACCATTCACCTAATCTTTGCTCGGTTCGGGCTAATGACGCCACCTATGTCACGAACAGTTCGACTTTCTTTGCTCGCCCTTGACGGGTCCTGGTTAAGGAAGCGGTTACTCGTTAAAGATGGCTGAGTATTTGGCGTCGATTTTCGGCACCGAGAAAGACAAGTAAGTAATCTCTTTCGCATACGACCCGCGTTATGATAATCGAGGTATTTTGTTCCATATCCGAGAGTCACAAGTATATCGGCAATGTTTTGTTCGGTTTGTTAATTGCGCCACAACGTGGCCGAGAGGTTCGATACGTTTCGGCCATATTAATATGGTGTTCGCGGCTTTATCTTGTTTATATCTTAGTCCCAAATCTTCTATGCTTCGCTTATCTTTACTAGTTACGAAGTTTGTGTTGAAATCAGACCGAATCTTTACGTTGTATATCTTGTTCGCGTGTTTCACGCGCGAACAAGATGTACAATGGACGTGTTTGCTGCGTCCATCGGCAACGCTCGACAGAGCTTTGCTTTATTCACAATTTTTGTTCCGTCTCGTAACTTGCTGTTCTGGCCTTTCGCAGAGTCAACTGCTCATTTTACTTCAAGATCGGAGCTTGTCGACATGGAGACAGATGTTCCCGAATTCACAACAAGCCAACGTTCAGTCAGGTGGGTGCGATGCAGCATAGCGCTGTTAGCGCGTTGACGCGGGGTTCAGTAGGCCTGAACCGTATGCGACGCAGTTATCGTCATTTGAATTCTGAATGTACATAACACCCCTGGAAACAAATTACAACTCCCACCTATGATATATCTACGACCTTTATGGTTTCGAACTGGTTTATAATGTTTATTTCTCGACCTTTCTTGCTTTCAGACTGTACTGCTGCAGAATCTGTACCACAACCCCCAAAATTCTGCGCAGACAGCTGACGGCTCCCATCGTGAGTGAAGTTTCGTACAATTCCGAGTAATTCTTTCACGATGAGAACTATAGTCACTGACAAGGTGACAATGGAAGGGAGGGGCTTCAATTGCCTTGCCTCCTGCACACAAGCTTCTTGCCTTTGACAACGCTTCAGTGTTTCGTTTACCTCGAGCGTGCGCAGCCAAAGCGCAGCGAAAGGCATAAAGCGCGGGTGTCATTCTCACTCTGTCAGTGACCATTGAGCACGGTGTAAGATATTAGGAAGTATTCATCTGTGGCTTACGTGTGGGTGGTGTGCGGTGCATTCTGGGTACATCGCCATCTTTGGGTCCTTGACAAGAAACTCCCACGCCCGCGCGGCTGGACCAGGATTAGCCGCACTACACCGCAAAGCTTTCTCTGGTTTCGGTGACACCGGCATTCGCAGCGCCGGAAAGACGCTACAAATTTGGCTGCTGCATCAAGTCACAGTCGAAGAAGAAAAAAGAAAAAAGCAAGCTTGCGGACTCCCATTTCTTCGAGATTCTGAGAGTCTGAACACACAAGTGCGAGAAAGCACGGTTGCTCTCCATGAGAAGGCAATGCGAATGGCTTGCACGCATTAACTGGAAAGACCTTGACGAAGACGTCGACAAGTACCGAGTGTGTTCAAGGCACTTCTCGGGGGAATGTCGGCAGCGTTTGCTTTCGTTGGACATGAGTGGCAAGATTTCTACAGGGAACTTTGCCTGTCACTGCTGGTCATCGTGACATGCGTCGCTTACATGTGGTTACGATGGACCGAGCGGCAGCGGGTCCTGTCGCGTCGCTTTGTCTGGAAGAATCGCTTCATACTTTAGGCCAAGTTGTGGCAAAAGTTCAACCTTGACAAAGAAACATGCTCGAGAAACTCGAATATGAGCACAAGAGCGGCGGCAAACTGCCATCGAAAAAAATCTCCGTTCATGAGTTTGTTTCTGTCGCCCTTTACTTGCCACTGCTCAGGCAAAAAGAATCATGCTTTCATTGTGCTCCACTTTTTTTCATCAATTCGAGGCGACATGAGAGGAACTGCTGTCGCTCGGGCCGTCGAAACCACATGTAAACAACCCATGTCACAATGAGCGGCAGCGACGGGCAACAGTCAAAGTTTTGTGGAAATCTTATCGCTGATGTCCGAGGAAAGCAAATGTGCCAACACTTACCCAAGAGGAAGTGCCTTGTACATACTCGGTACTTGTCTTTCCAGTTGATGCGTGCAAGCCATTTGTGTCACCGTCTCACAAAGAGTGACTGCTTTCTCACACCCGTGTGTTCGGGCTTTTGGAATCTCGAAGGAACAGGAGTCCGCAAGCTTGCTCTCTTCTTTTTTCTTCTTCGACTACAACTTGTGCAGTAGCTAACCATCACGCATGACACCATACTGGCGCTGCAAATTCTGGTGTCATCGAAACCAGAGAAAGATTCGTGGTGTAGTGCGGCTGGTCCTGGTGCGGGCACGGCTGTCTGCTGTCAAGGACCCAAAGATGGCGATGCAACCCGCACATAAGCCGCAGGTGAATACTCCTAGAGGTGTGGACACCGCCAAATGGCTCCTCAATATGCGGCTATGGCATCTAAAGCAATAAGCTTTGGATGCCATAAAGCTTAATGCTTGATGTTTCGGACATACTTTGTGTGATTTCCTCAGTTAACAGCCGTCACGATAGCGTTGCGAGCTGTTGAGTGCAAAGGTTTTTTGCCGATAGGCTTAGTATTAAGCAATCGTGGTGGACTAAACATTGTCTACAAATAGTGCCGAATGGATTCAACTTCGCTGTTTGTGCCAACGAAGGCGCCAACAAAGCGCAGCACCATGATCAAACAGATCAACAAACGAGTGAGAAGTGAACTATATAAAGTGGAAGTTGCACGAGAACTTAAAATTGGCATCAAGCAAATGGAAAGTGGCCAATACGCAGCGGGTTATGTATAGAAATTTGATATTTTGGCTGAAATCAATTTTTCGGACCACTTGATTATTTGGACAAGTTTTTGGTTCCCTCAGAGTCCGAAAAATTGGTTGGCGACTACAGCATTATTGTGCCAAGCATAGTGGGCACTTAAGGGATGCTGAACTAAAAATCTAGTTTCAGAAAACAATGCAGAATCGATAGGCTACAAATCCGAAAACGTCACTCATAAAGCGGTATCTCCAACGGATTGTTGTATTTTTGTAAAAGAAGAGCGCGCTCGCACAAGGTCAGAAAGACGCGTGACCTCGCGATTTCCTCATTTCCTCCGCTTTTTACTTTGACTCTGCGATTACGCGGAGAGGAAAGGGAGCGAGGCCATTTCTCCTCCCCGTCAACTCTTCTGCGAGAAGATGACGTCAACATTCTTCCTCATTCCCTACTTTATTTTCCAGAAATACGGCCATCCGCTCGAGATATGGCTCTATGAGTGACGTTTCGTGGTTTATGGCACCCTGTTGAACACTTCTGGAAGCCTATTTTGTGAAATCCGAATTTCAGTTGAGCATCCCTTTAATGTAATAACCATCTCCTTATAACTCTGTTTGTTGCATGTTTGCAGTTGCCAACATGACTGAGGAAGAAATGCAGGAACACTTTGACAATTTCTTCGAAGATGTCTTTGTGGAGCTGGAGGACAAGGTTGGTATATCCCCTTAATATTTCCTGCGGTGTCTAAACGTTTTCATACCACGTGAGGACTTTGAGCTCATTTCTGTCTTTTTGGCTGGCGGTAAAGACAAATAATGAAATGCAATATCGGGTTCTTTTGTGTCATGCAAAGGAAAGCATTTTGCGCAGCCTAGTGAGGGACTGAGGATTGATTCTTGGAACAGAAATCTGTTACACGGCGCCTGCACGACGATGAGCCTTCGTCGAGCTGCGGGCCCTTTGACTGGAGTTTAATCGGATCAATTGGGAATCTATGGGCTGTCGCTCTGCCTTGGGAGTCACCGAAGCAGATAAGAAGTGAGACATTTTAATGTTATTGGCCTCGAGATCGACCTAGAGGTGGCGCTACGGTCGCGCTATCATCATCATCAAAGCGGGGATAGGAGAACGGCCGCCCCATAGGCTCCCTACGTTCGTGCGCGCGACGGCGTAGATTCTTGCGTTTATTTTGTCGCATACTATCGGTGGGAAAACAATTCTAGCGGAAAAGGATGCGGTACTGTTCGGGGCTACAGGGAAGATCGAATCGTGTTGCCAGCGTGCGGCCTAAATTTATATAATCGCTTCTGTGGGTGCGTCGTCTGCTCTAGGCAGACATTGGAAAGCATGGATCACCTCGACTGATGCCTGCATGTCTCCGGCTGAACTGGAATATTTATGTTAAATATTTGTTTCTTTTAAAATGGATGTATCGATTCATCAACGTGGGAATTAAAAAAGTAAACAATAAATTCCATCCCAGATAACATAATACTCGTAGTGTGAGCTGTGAAATCGCAGCTTCTATATTTTTTGTTTTTTTCTTTACTTCTAGCTTTTGCAGTAATATAAATAATTATAATGAAGAGTTAGCGCTGTATTGGAAATTACTATGCTATTCAGTTCCTCTGCCCTTTTACTGTGCCATAGCGTGGGTAAGTTTTTTGGAGTCTGAACAAATCTACTGCGTTGCGATGAGGAGAGTGTGTCTCTTCTAGTTAAGATCTGCAAACTGCACGGTTGGCAGGACAACTGAAGCAAGTGAAACAAACTGTTCCAATATATCTGCGTGACTGTAATAAACGAGCGTAACCGAGCAACGCAGCAATGTTCCTGCTATTAAATGCTTTTCTCGGTCGTGTGGGTTCACCCGCTTCAATTTTCTTGGTGAGGGCCGCGGATGTCAAGAGGCTAATACTATAAATGTCTGGCTAAGTAATCTTGTATTCAAACACAGTAGACTCTGTAACCCCAACAATCGACGCGCACCAAGACACAGACAGCATCGGCCGCAGTGATACTCTTTTACTGATGAGGGCTAGCGACCTTCACGAGACTTTCCGATCACCCTCCGCCCTCACCTAACGTATATCGGGACTGGGCAGTTCATTGATTAACGTTCAGATTATTCAAGTAATGCTTTAATTGCAATTTTGTTTTTGCCGGTTAATTCGAGTCTTGTGCTGGAGAAAGTCAACCAAGAATAAAAATATGCCTGCTTTAATATTTTTTTACGTCTTTATTTCTTTTGTGACACTGGCTTGCACAGTAAATCACTTCAGCGTGCTTGTCATTTCACTTTTCACCGAGGGTGATTATACTGTTAAAATAATAACTTTAAAAAATACTTCATTTTATAAGGCTTCCCGTGTTCATAGTTATGCAGGACTCACAACGTTAAGTTTAGAATGGGAATGCAATATGCCATTTATGCCATAGTAAAACCAGTAAAAAAATGTGGTTTCAGCGTTTTTCACGCAATATGACCGGCGAAAAATCAACATACGGATTTATTGATTCATTAGTCTATTAAAGGATAGCGATCAGTCGGGTTAATTTTTTAATCAAACCACAGACCCACTCAACATTCAATGCTTTATAAAAGCCATGGTTTGTGCGAGATAACAAAAATACGTGGGACCAGCGATTGTATACAAACCACCACACTACGATTATGGAAGCTTCCGACTTAATAATAATCGCCTTGGTGAATTTCTACGCACGGGAAACGATACAACACAACCTTTAGTAAGAAGAAACGGCAGCAAAAACATGAAACATTTAATAAGGAATGTCAAGCTCAGCCTGAAACGGGCTTGCGTTGTCGAGATCCATGCTTCTGAGCGTGCGCCCGTAGCAGACGACGCACGGCGGTATCCCCGCTTTCGCGCGTTTCCAATTTCGGCCGCACGGTGGCGACACGGTTCGATCTCGAGGCGAATAGAGTCCGTAAAGCCTAGAAAGACGCTAGGAGGACGAGGTGCAAAATCTGTGGTTGCCTGAACCATTGTATCTCTAGACCGGGGGTTCTCAAATGAGGTTTTAAAGAATGCAGGGGTTCCCCAGTTTACTGCCAGGGTTTCTCAAGCACCCAAGTTTCCTCAATGCCCCCAATATCTAGGTAAAGCTTATTTTCAGCTTGGCGACAATTTATGCATAGCTGAGTCTCACATTCTTGCTACCCAGAAGGGTCAACCTTTAAACCTTTAGCTTAATATATTTTAAATTTACAGTATACTGGCAGTTGCGAGGCAGAATGCATTGCAAAGTTTCATCGGTGTGCGTAAATTGTAAAATAAATTATTGCGGTTTTTATCAGGAACAGACAGTGTTTAGAACAACTGTTGTTTAAAAATTAATATAACACCCAATATTTTTCTTCACTAGATACACAGCAGATTGCCTGGAGGGCGCAGCTGTGAAAACAAAGTTTTCAAAAAGATGTTTACTTTATGCTAACGTCGCGCTGAAAAGTCAAATAAATTTCTTTCTTTTTATGTTGTTGACAAAACCTTTACCGTTAAGTTCCTGGAGAACGCCCACCCCCAAGATATCGTCCATCCGGTTTTTCTGGCTAAATCTGTAGCATAAAAATTCTGAAAAATCCCCCCCCCCCCCCCCTCCCCCCACCTGATTCCGTCGGACTTCACGCGAGGTCCGACAGGAATCCCATCAACCGCGCAATTTGCTGTACCGGCACGACTGAGAAGCGAGTTCATTGCGGGTTCCCGCATTTTTGTCTGCATGCATGATATCGGTATCGGCTCCCGTAACACGCAAGTTGTTCCCACATGTACATTGCACCGTGAATTGCGAATCTGCTGCGTCCGCAACCTGCGGTATCCGTTCTGGTAATGTAAGTTTTGTAGCGGATTGCCGCGTTTATGTTCCACGCGAGTTGGTCCCGCGTGTGTATTCTGTCGTGAAATACGATTCTGTTGCATTCGCTATCTGCGGTATTTGTTCCTGTAACGTACAAGTGTGTAGTTTTTGTGTGCTATCTCTGCACCGAATATCGATCCCTGTGACAGGCTAATTTGTAACTGGTTCCTGTGTTTATTTCACCATAAAACTTCAATCTCCTGCGTCTGCGATTTATGGTATTCGTTCCTGTGAGATGCAAGTTCTCAACCGGTTTTCGCGGCTCTTTTACACCGTGGAGTGCAAATATCCTGCGTCCACAACCTGCGGAATCTTTTCCCGTGACAGAGGAGTTTGTAGCAAATTCCCGCGTGTGATAGCATTGTGAAACGCGAATTTGTGGTGTTCACGATCTGCAGTATCGTCACATGGTTTTTAGCCGGTGCCAGGGTGTTTATCATTAATTTTTGATAAAGTTTTGCTGTGGCATCCCCTAAGGTAGCCCACACCATGCTTTTCACCATTTATCGCTTCGTTTTGGCTGGGCAGTCTTTCGGAACTTTACGTTATATCCTTTATGAAAGACATCCACAAAGTGTGAAAACAATGCCACAGCTAAATCGGCCATTAAATTCCGCTTAAAGGGGTACTCCAGCCGTTTTTTGAGCTACCCAAACAAATTTCGTTTTCGGACTATCTGGATTTTAGTTTCACGGTATGCTATTTTCTCAAAATTCAAGATAGCAATTGAGAAAACCGTAGATAAGGATGATGCCGAAAGGAATATTCAAATTTCCGCACGCTCCCAGTAGTGCGACGTTACAGATGGTACAGACTTTCAGGTCGCGCAGGAAACACGATGGAAAAGAAATGTGAAAATTCAATAACCCCACAATGTGTTTTAGGGGCGAAGCTCCTCAGGGTTTCGCCTTATCCGTCCGGCGTCCGTGCTCACATCAATCTTGCTGGAGCTCGTGCACGTGCTCGTGTAAGAAAAAAAAAAGATGACGAAAAAAAAAAAAAAAAATTTGTGCAGTCAACAGGATTCGAACCTGTGCGGGAAGACCCCAATGGCTTTCTAGTCCATCGCCTTAACCACTCGGCCACGACTGAAGGACAAGTAGGGGGCTCTGAGATGTGGTAGTAACTCAAAAGCTGGGGATGTCATGGATGAAACGGTGCATGTAGCCGCTCAACGTCTATACAATAGAGGGCGCTGCGATAAAATGCGTATATAATCGCATTAAACATTGCATGCATTGGCTCAACGTTTATAGACGAGAGGGCGCTGCGGTCAAATGCTCAAGTGCATATATAACCACGTTCCATACCACACATGCTCTTTCTTTCATGGATGAAAACGAATGAAAGGCTTGGCATGCTGCGGCTAAGCATTTACGCAGACAAGCTCCACCAAAGCTTCGCCCCAATCAACATCATTCACCACATGGAGATGCGGTCAATTTTTCTTTTCAAACAATATTTGGGGAACTACAGTCGCGTGTATTGGTCTGTTGAGCTGATTTTGAAGCAAATCACCGACTGAAAAAATCGCCGGAACACTGAGTTAGCTTTTCCTTTTGTCCCGTTAACAAATAATAGTTTTACTAAAGTTAAATTTACGCCAAAAAGCGGAACGGGGAAAATGTGTTCAAAGTGCTTGAACCTCTACCTTTTCTTTAGGATCGACGGACTGAAAATAATTTGTAAAAAAATAAGCATACAGTGTAAACAAGTGAAACATTCTGGGAATACTCTCCAGATGTTAATAGATGTAAATATAACATTTTTCAATATCAACAGTTTTTGCAAAAATTATTTTTTCTGGCCAGTGTTCCCCATTAAACGGTCTCACCTTTTCTCTTACTGCTTGTACTGTTGGTGTAGTTACTAGCTGGCAAACTGTTTTGTTGCAAGGACAGTAAGAGGAGAGTGTTTCTCGCCTGCCTTCCTATACTTGGCATTGACATTTTTCGTGCTATGTTGTCAAGGCTAGCATAGTTTCTGCAGCACTTCAATACTGGCCAAGCTACTCGCTCAAGAATATGACTTTGTTTGTCATTTCCTTTGGATGAGAGCACATGCAAGTGGGACTTATGATGGAGCTACTTGTTCGCGCAGCAGTGTGGAGCTGCAGCACTCAGAGCTGTGCTAGCCTTGATGGTGTAACACAAAAAGGTTGATACAGAGTATAGGCTCGGAAACCGAAAAGGTTGAAAACCTCCATCGAGAGTAGTGGTTTTGCTGTTGTATCGTTGCAAGTCTGAAACGGGGATTAAGCTCTGAACGGGCCCAGTCCAGTCCACTCATCTGCTGTGGGTCGAGATTGCATTTGTTCCTGGCTTTCTGTTTCAGTACGGGGAGATTGAAGAGATGAACGTGTGCGATAACCTTGGCGACCACCTTGTGGGCAACGTCTACGTGAAGGTGAGGGAAAGTCCCGTTGCACCCCTTTCACCTCTGCCTTCCGATTCCCGTGTAACCCTTGCTCCCGCAGTTTCGCAGGGAGGAAGACGCGGAAAAAGCGGTGGCAGACCTGAACAACCGCTGGTTTGCGGGCCACCCGATCTACTCCGAGCTGTCGCCTGTGACAGACTTCCGTGAGGCCTGTTGCCGCCAGTATGAGATGGGGTAAGTGGACTACTACTGCTGCCGGTACGCGCAGTCTGCGGGACGGTGGGCCCAAATGCGGGATTGTTGCTTATGCCCAAAATGCTTCTCGGTTGAGTCGTCAAACTTTATGAATCGAGTTTGTGCCTTTTGTCCACACTGTTCATCGTACCAGTAGCTTCTGCAGTCGTCATTTAGCTACGCACGAAAAGTGTGACTAGGCGGCAGTCAGGCTAACTGTATTGTCACTACTTCTGTGGAATTGAAGTGAAAGCCCCCTTGGTTCCTGGGGAAAATTTGTTTGAAGCTACCTCAGTGTGCCAGTGGAAAGGACTGGAGTGACACCCCTTTTGGAAGGGAGGGAATTCCATTCCTGTGTGCAGAAATTCCAAGCTGTACATTTTGAGGAATCTTATCTGTTAATGCAAGAGGACTTACAGTCACAATGCATAACTCATACTTGTCTCGCCTTGCAGCAATAATATTTTGTGAGTCTTTTGTTTTTTACATAGGTGGCCAGCCCCTTTGCTTGCTTTAGCATGAGCCGTATGGATTACGCAGTGCTATGTATATTACATTGCAATAGTTCTTTATCATTCTGGTGAAGCAAGGACTTGCTTTTATGCTGAAAGCAATGTTTTGTGGTAGCACTTTTGGGTGCAGTCATGAGGTAGTGTTTGTGGCTCACTTGGCGGAAAGGCAGTTACTCTGGCAAATTTACCTTTCCTGGTTAGAATCAAAAGCTTCTCAATAGGGCACCTGCAGAGTGATGTGAGTCAGTATGACTCATTGAAGATGCTGTGAATTGAAGGTCAGTTGCAGAATTACGAGGATATAGGGACTTCTGTCACAAAGCACCTGGGGCTATGAGCAACGCCCCAGGGATCTCTTGAGGTAGGGACTGTCCAGGGTTTGAGCTCTCTGCCACATGCTTTGGAGGCCAAAACGGAACCTCAACACCATGAAGACTGCGACTCCTTCTTGGCTAGTCATTCTCAACTTTCCAGACAGACTCTCTTCGTCCTTGGTCTTCTCAGCAGACACATGCCGCTGTGAAAATTTAGTTTAGTGTTTGCTTGACAGAGTCCATTCCTTGGTATGGTCTAGGATTGTTCATCTATGGCCATTATTTCCACCAATGTAGTGCTGGTTCCTGGCTGAAGACTGGATTTTCTTTCTCACTCGATTTGGTTTTCCGTCGACCTTCCATTGCTTCTGCTTCATTACTCTTCAAACGTTTTCTATCTGCCAGTGTGGCTAAGCAGGACAGCTTTTTCTCGGGCATAGGGCAATGGAAAGAATCACTCTGTCCAAGTCGTGTTGCAGGGTGCCCCGGTTTAATGAACCGTGCACATGCCATTGTACGTACTCACGAGTAAGTAACTGTGTGCCCTGTCTTTTTAGCTTGAAAGCAAAGACTTGGCGTACCACGGAGGCCTCCGAGTAAGTTGCATCTTTTCGTGTGGGGGTACTCTAGTTGGGTGGTCGAAGACTTCTGAGTAGGTGCCTCGTTGAGAGTGAGATGTCCACTGTCCCTAAGGCCCTCGCCGGCCCAGTCTTGTCCCCGCCTCACTAGTGACTCCTTGTGGTTGGTGGGAGCTCGCAGTCTTTGGTGACCACTCGCTTCCGTGTACCCCTGTTCTTCCACAGCTCGCATTTTCAGCGCCAGCATTCAATTGCAGCTCGGCATCCTCCAGCATTCCTTTCCAGCTCTAGATGTGCAATAATCCTTTGAAGGGAAGGGGCGAAGCTAGCTGAACTGCAGCTCTGACATGAGACTCTTCGTTTTTCAGCGTCCACCTTCTCTTCCTTCCCATCTTCTCTGTAGCCTAGCCGGTGGATTCCTGCACCTTCTGCTTTTTTCCCGCTCTAGCGTTTCTTTTCAGCTCAGTGTCCGGTCTCCTTCGAAGTTCGTAGCCTTTCTTTTCAGCTTAAAATCCAAATTGGCTCTGAGAGGGTAAGTTGTTGCCTATTAAAAGCCTAAAACACTCCACAAAATTTCTAGCTAGTGCCCGCTTAGGCCAGGGTGGTTAATTGCCTCATTTGTTGACTGAAACTGTGGCAATTTTGTAATAATTTTTTTTTCCTGGAAAAGTTGAGCAGTGCAGCGGCATACTAGACATGATAAGAACTGTCTGCTTTTTTTTCTTTTTGCTGGTAATTTGTAGACCTTTGTATTAACCGACAGTCACATCTATTGTCATTCGTGACGTTTGCTTCCAGGGAAGCAGTGAGTATGGTGCAACATATTTTTGTTTGAAAGTGACCTTAGAGGAGTAGATAATTCTGCACTTGCCATGTCCCAACATGACTTTTGCTCCCACATTTCCCGGACGTTATACAGCTGTAGCTATTTGGGCTTGGTCTTCGGTAGGGGATTCAAGGCCCTAGGAATGCCTGCACAGAGTTCTAGGATTCATGGTTTGTTGCTTCGTCTGTTGGTTCCTTACTCATACTAGTTTATCATACTAGTTCATCTAGAAGGAAAGAAAATTTAATTGTAGAAAGTATGTTATTTCTTTTATCTGTAGCACACAAACATGGCTCCAAGCATAACAAAATAGAAACTTGTGATCAGATCCAGGGTCCTCTCAGTGGTCTTGAAGTTAAAACATTATTATGACATCTAAAATGGTGTTGTGTTACGACTGCAATGCTTGCCTGTAAAATGTTTGCAGAAGGGCATTTGATGTTTTCCAATCAATGTGTGTTATGTGCAATTCAAACCTGCCTCATGGCATGGTGAAAAGAAGAAAGGTAAACCCTCCTGTCTAATTCTGCTATAATTAAAGTTGTCTTGGGTACACGTGGCTCATAATAACTTGGTCGAAAAACTTTGTGAGGCTGAACTCGCTTCAAATCAAAATGCCAATTTTATTGTCAAAATGTTCAAGTCTTTGGAGTATTATGAGTACTGGGACATTCAACTGTTAAGCATAATTATTTCTCTAAATATTTTTGGAAGGAGTAACATTTGGTTGCAGGAAAGGAACAAAGCACTTTTCAGAATTGTTTGCTGTGTAGTGCTTAGCAGGTACAGATAACCAGTTTTCAAGGTTTTTTTCTTGCCGTTGAAGTTTTTAACAAAGGTTCCTCACACTAATTCCTGAGATAAGTTTCTTTATTGTTTCCAGCAATTTGTGTTACATTTTATGTACGCTAGTTCTGGACCGTTCTGGGCCTATCCAGCTATTTGTAATTAGTACATTTTTTCATAGACTTCGGGGATATGTAGAGGAAAAAATTGGACTTGCTTATGAAAGTCAAAGTTGCCTTTGTTAAAGCTACTCTGTCCAAGCTTTTCTTAATTTTAGTGCCTTTTGGATTTGAGAGGAGCTCAATTTTACTATTTCTTTTCCCATGAAATTGAGAGGGCACTGGCTGGAAATTATGTGGTGGGTGTCTATGCAAACTGCGGTAGCCTGCTTGTGTGCCTATGTGTCTTTTTGCAGCTTCTAGAAATTGGAACCAACATTTTGACAGCAAAGAGAATTTTTTTCAGCAGTTTATTTTCCAGCCTCACTCTAAATCACAGTGTACTTCCCTCCACATTTGTGGATTGCAGAGCTACAAAGAAGCGCTACACTTCACGTTACTTGTTTTGAAGGTGCACCCTTCCGTGCTGGGAATATAATAATGCCATAGTAGCTCGCAGGAGATACAACATTGCAACATCTGTCTGATCACTTCTACTCTTTCCCGAATAACTCGGCAGTGCTAAAACGACAGTAAAACATGCTGATATGCTTTTAGCAAGCATGATATACAGCTGATATAGGAACAGTTGGAGATGGAGTCACTACTACCTTCATTTCAGCTTATTCCACTAACAGAATGAGGTAAATATAGATACTGCATGTGTAGGCACATTCTACATCATTGGCTTTTTGGTGTTTTTTTGTTGATGTGGTTGCCGAATACTGCTGCTCTCGGCAACCACAAGGGGTCACACCTAGCGTTACTACTGGCTCCTATAAGACTGAGCCCTTGCAACGCAAACTGTACCTGAAGTGCTCTGCTCATTACTAACAATGTCTGGATCTTTTTTCTTTTTTTTTTTTTTTTTTTTTGTCAGCACATAGTGTTTTGTACAAAATCAGTTTGAAGTCTTAATTGAGGAGAAGGTATCTTTGCGGAATCTGTGGTGGTGTTTGGGGGGACAGGATTATTAGAATTCGATAAGCATCTTTGCTATTGCCATCTCTGGCACAGCTGGGGATTTTGTTCATAGTTCTGTCTCATTGTTTTAGTGCAATTTGAATATGGCAATGACATAACCATTATAGTAATGATTAAATAGCATAAAATTTCTCATTATTGATTGCAAATGGACCCTGGCAAGTAGTGCCGTTACCGATACGCCAACAGTTGAGTCAGATCTTAGTAGCTACTTGAAGCTGATGTGTTGCTAAAGGGTCACACACTGCACCTAATAACTCTTGGGGATCATGCCTCTATCAACTACATTATTGGTTTTCTATGTGCTAGACTTCTAAAGAGAACACCCCATTTCTGTCAGCTGTAGATAGTACAAGCTGCCAATTTAGACGGAAACCTTCAAACTAAGGCTTTTGCATTTGTACCGGGACCTCTACAGTGCAGTCTTGTTTCGCAAGTGTAGCTCCCGCTAATCACTCATGCGATCGATTTTCAATGCCAAGTTGTAGCCCATCTATGCAGTATACTTTGTGTTACCAAGATAAATTCAAAGTTTAAATGAGTTGCCCAAATTCGAATAATTCCTTTTTGTTAAATTGGTTTGCTTTAAACTAGTTGCATAGCACCACCGACATACGGGGTGGATGAAAATTTCTTGTTCTCACATAGTTCAAAACTCACAAAGAGTTTGGTAATCCTTTCTTTCCCTTTCCACATGTAAGCTATAATGTAAATAAGGAATGGGGTGTGTCTGTTATGTCACATGCCTTTGATGCATTAACCCCTTTGGATCAACATGCTTTGCTGCCCTCTCTCAGATAGAAAGCTTTTGTGTGTCATTTTGCATAGTTTGTTGCACCCATCGAGCAAGAAAAAAAAACACTCATAAATATTATAGTATGCAAGTCTTGAGTAATGAGAGGCCTTCCATGGTTCTTGATAGTGCATACAACTGTGCACATAATACAAGCGTAAGGGTGCTACTGGAGGAGTGCAAACTTGCCGTGCTTTTGAAGAAAACATTTTATTGGTCCAGTTTTGCTTACTCTCACTAAATGAGATCTCTGTCGCTTATCTTAAAAAATTGCCAATATTGCATTTATTTTTTTTTATGTGCAACATTAAACATCTTGCGAGCATATTCAGTACTCCTAAACTACTGGTAATGCTTCATATTTTTTGTAAAGTCAACAATTTTAGCTTTTAACTGATATACTGCAACTGTTCCCTAAAGGGGCCCAATGACCAAACTTTTGATGGAATGTCACTAAAAGCAAGGCAAAATGTATGGCCTCAGAATGGTTCACTTAATATGAGATCATGTGTCTTTTTGGATTTGAAACAATTGCTAGACTCAGCAAGAGCAAATATTCAATTTAGACGTAGTGGAACCTATTGGTCTGCCTTATCTTCATCTGTTACAATGATGTAGCCTAGTTTTAAAGCTTGACTCTTTTTTTCATTACGAGACATGACTTCGCTACTATTTCAGCTGTACACTATGCTTTCATCGCCTTGAGCTGTTACAGTAGTAGGGCTACAGCCGAAAGGACCCGGATCTAAAATGGGAACGCTTGCCGACAGAGTTGCTGCGAAAGTTGAGCCTTCAGCCTTGGCCGGGATGCCGTTTTCTTGAGTTTCCTCCTTTGGGAAGTGAGCCTGTGTGAGGCAACTGGACGAAGTCGCAGGATGCATGGGTGTCCCCCCTTCTTTCCCTGTTATCTAGGGAGTGCACTCGCAGTGGCTTTTGCAACTTCATGCACCTCAAGCCGATCTCGAGGGAGCTGCGCAGGGAACTGTACGGCCGCAAGCGCCGCAGGAGGTGAGTCATCCTTGGGGATTCCCCAGGTGCCAGAGCACAAAGGCTCGTCCACACAGTTGCATTCGAGCTTGACTACAGTCGCTTGCACTGCTTCAGTCGACCTGTTGCTATGGCAACACGACGAGCCAATGGGGAATCGCTGTGCAGCATGACACAGCACAACGCAGCTATGTGAACGAGCCATGATTTCAGTTGAAAAGAAGTTTTTCTTTAGGGTGGCAGTGCACAATCCGCACCTGGGATGGCTTGCTAGAATAGTGTCTCAGCTGAGGTTGAGTGAGAAAAAGCACTGCAAAGGCAAGCGCACGAGCGGTTTGAGTCCCGCTCAGCTTGTGTGTCGGCTGTGGCAGCGCTTTTTCCCCCCCTCAGTCTCAGCCAAGACACTGTTTCTAGCAAGCAGGCCCTGGTCAAGAAATTGTCATACCAGGCATGTCTTGACAAATGCCTGCTGTATTAGCTAAAAAAAAAAAAAAAAAAGTTTTTATCACACATAAGTTATTATTAACATACTCTGTCATTCACAAAATCCATCACTACTCATCATAAGAATCACCACTCATCATAAGAAACAATCTACAGTAGTTTACAGCACGAAAAATTTAAACTTTTAGACACTTACAAGTCTGTAATATATGGCACGCTTGTCGAGGTTTTTGATCAAAAACGGTTGACGTGAGGGCCCAACTACCTAAAAAAACAGTGTTTGTGACTCGAAATCTGACATACTGCACAAAAATTGCTGCTCAAGAATTGAAAGAAAAGTAACACTCATGACGAACAGGAACTGCCTAACTACAGACAGGTATCAATGAAAGAGGAGGCAAACAGAGAAATAAAGACTGCACAAAGGTTTTGGAGTATGTAGTAGGCCATCTGAGGCACATATTCAATAATAAAAGTAATGGAGTGCATGAGCCATTACTTTTGTTGCTGCTGAAACACCAATAGAAACACTAAGCATTGGAGCATTGAAGGAAACGCCGAGCACATGGCTGCGGAGTCGCTTCCCGTGACTCCTTCCGACGACGTAGTGCATGAACTATACCTCTGGTCTTGATTCTACTCTTTTCTAGTTTTTCTCAGCAAGTCAGCATCTTCATGGCAGAAAGGAAACATTGAGCAGTCTCTCGACACCATAATTTAGTGTTTCACACACAAAAGAGTAAATTACATTTTAGAGGTAGTTCAAGAAGCTCGACTCCCTGAACGAGAGTTCTTTTATTACGACCATTAATAGTTTGCAGAAGGTTTTTTTTTTTTTTGTTTTTTTTTTTTATGGAAGTTGATAGCTGAGTGACAGCAAACTCTGTAAAGTTTCAAAACGCAGGTGATGCACGAGCAGTTTACAAAAGCCGTCATAGGTACGAACTACATCTAGGCACCTCTCATCCGCCCATTTAAGTTGTCTAGTTGCGCTCTACTTCCCAAAACGAAAGTGCGCAAATTGTCCCCAGAGTAACTTTCGCTCTGACGCTTGTCAGTGGCCGCAGCCTGTAGGAACCTGCTCTGACCTCTCGGTCCCTTGCAGTGGGCTTAAGATATTTGCGTTGAATTTGCCAATTTTCTTTCGGGTGCCGCCGTTTTGGTGCTTAGTGCAAGGCGGGTGCAATCGGCAGCTGTTAAATTCTTTCCACGCTTCAGTTGTGGTGTTGGGAAGCACGGGCACAAGGTGAACTCGGCCTCTCGCTGCCCTACGCGGTTTTTGAAAGTGCCCCTCTGTCTCCCTAGGCCGTCGGAAACAAACACCCATGCAGGGTTTCTATGGTCGGCTTTTCAGAAAAGCTTTAGAGTGGTTCCTGCTTTCTTCGTGCTGCGATTAGGTCGAAAATCTGTCAGTGCCACTACAGTTCCCGGAACGCCTCCCTGACTAAAGAGAGCGGGCCCTCGATTTCCGCCTGACGACGTCATAGAGGTGTCCCACCGTCTCCGGCCGCGATCGGAGCGATGTCGCAGCGGCGGTGGCGGATGTGGCAAGCGCCCGTTCCATCGCAGGTCACTCTCCGGCTTGACAGGTCGTGGAGGCTTAGGCAGACTACGGCGACACTCGCATTCGCTCTTACTTTTTGCCGCGACTTCCGGTGCCAACCGCTGGGATCACGACGTCCGACAGAGCGACACTCCGGCTTTCGAGACATTGTTTGTTGCCGCTTCGGGACCGCTTTCGGGACCTGTTTTGACACATGGGCGGTAAAGGACGCCAAACACACCGGTCGGAGACGGGATCGAGGCACCGTAGCGCCACTCTAGCTACCTGCTGAAATCTGTCGCCCCCCCAAATTCTCAATGCCATAGTCCTAGTCTGCCTTTTGGCAAGTCTGCCCCTGCTTGGGCAATCTCCATTTGCTCTGTCCTAGACTGCAATAAAGTTTTCTGGGGATGATAAAGTGTTTCTCACGATTTCTGGTAAAGCTTCGGGTAACTGGCAAGAATGATTTTAAGCACCCTGATGGCAAGAGTTTTCTTGCTATGAAGTGTAGCTTACTTAGTGGCTCCAGCAGAGACGGGAGTAATGCATCTCTCTCGCTCAATCGTTCTTGTGTCCTTACCCCAGGTCTCGCTCTGGATCCCGTGGCGGGGGCAGTCCCCGTGGGCCGAGACGACGCAGCCGAAGCCGCGAGCGCAGGCGTCGCAGCCGCAGCCGTGAGCGCAGGTCTCGCTCGCGGGAGAAGAAGGACCGCGAAGAGCGTGCGGGTCGCTTCTAAAGCTTGGGTCGGCACCAAACAGCCCGACCGCTCGCAACGCGAGGGTCGTTGGTGCCGCGAAGACCATAGATTGACACCTACCGTGTGTCCTTTCATCCTCCCTTCTATCGCTCGGTGTTGTTTATACCATTTCCTCTTACTTCGCCGCTGCACGTTGAGACGAGAGCAGCACGAGGCTCCTAGCTGTTCATGTTCTGTGTTTCCCTCAACACGAGGAATAAATGAATCTGTCATTGCACAATCTTCATTTAGTTTCTCTCTTTTGGCGGTTGCAAGCTCCTTTTATATCTCTTGGGGCTCTGCAGTAGGAGACTCTGTGCCTGCGAACCAATATCCTGGGAGTAATATGACAGTGAGTGGCCATACTTGATGCCGATACATTTTGCGACATGCAGATAAGTGGGTGTACTTTTGTCCAAGTGATATTAGAAAAAACTGTAGACGGAAGAGTGAAGCCGTAAACAATAAATTACGCATTGATTCGATCAAACGCGATGTAATGCGGTAGCTTTGCAGGAACTTTGTTAGTGAAAACAAGAAAGGAAGTGGTATGTTAATGAAATTATTGTTATATGCGTGCACACATAGAAGACGATGTCAAGGCTGACGTCTAGGACGGCGTCAAGGACGTCGTCCTGGAGGACACGTCTTGGACGACCTCTAGAAGAACCTCAACGACGACTTCTAGGATGACCTCAAGGACAACCTCTAGGACATAGCGTCAGCTACAGCTACCAGCGCTTACGAGCTTGCACAAACGGAGCTTACGCAACTGGTGCTTACGTGCCCTTGATTACGCGAGCTTGGGCTTCAGCCACGGGTGGCATCGAGGACATGACCTTGAGCGTGGTGGGGCCTATAAAGCTACCGCTTAAATAGAGATCTTTTTGCTTCCCTTTATTTCTGCCGTGCTAGAAAAATTCGAGGTCCCTCCCCTCAACTATCTTCACTCAAAGCAGTAAAGGGCTGCAGTGCTGTGGCAACTGCATTAGCTTTGTCAGTACTTCATGGGGGAAAAAAATATGAGCGGTGAATTTACAGTACAGTCGCAGAGAAGTCGTTGGGCATCGGTGTCGCGTTCACGCACTGTGGAGTCTCGACGGCGTCATAGTTAGTGGATTCCCAACCCACCCCAAGCAGCAAACACGCCGAAGCGTGATAAGAGTCGCTGCTTTGCAACAGATGCGTCCGCTTTGGTGTCGCTCTGTGCCAGCATCACGCGCGTAAGACCCTGCGAAGCGAGCTGGCAGCGTCATTGACGCTGCATGAGTCCATTAGTGACGATGTTTGGGGGGAGGAGAAAGGCACAGGCCTTGTTTTCAAGGTGGTGTTGGGTCATGTGGCGCAATGCAACGATAGATTGAGGGATGTACGGATATGTCTGAACCCCTGAACCAGCAGCTTTGCCACCTACACGGGGTGTGTGGAGGTAAACAATGGCCAAACTTCCGGGGGGAGTATGTTACTTCTGGTTGGCTATTGTTTTTGCTCGCTTTTTAGGGCCCTCTCTAAGACCCTTTTTCCTCGAGGAAATGAAAAATCTACTGACGGTGTCGTGGGTGCATCTTCAGGACTATCTATTTGACTAGCCTGGTCTATAAACCCGAAAACGACTTAAATCCTACAGATCCCTAAATGCGTTCAATATCTTCGTGGACAACAGATATGCGCGGAGCTTCCCCGCAGGGGTCACCGAGCCGGGCCTTGGTTTCAGCGGACAATCTACTGAAAGTGTATTACGCTTCCTTTAGCGCAATAAGAGTCTCCGTAATGCACAATTTTCTAGTGTTTTGACTTGCTTGCTTTGGGATTCAAGGTTCCTTTCCCAGATCACCGTGCACATCGCATTTGTATGTGCCGTAATGGCCCTTTGTTGTACGGAGATAGTTGGTCAAGGGTTAGCAGCGCCGGCGCCATTTTCGCATTGCGCCATCTGTCGGCAGCATGTCGAAGTAGGCTAGCATCGTGTGCCAAGGCAGTCATTCTTCAATCACCCAGGCTCAGCGGTGGCGTCCCTCATCTCAAGATGATCCTAAATAACCACTTGTGACATTTTGTTTGTACCGATACAGATCGGCAACTTAAAAGCACTACACTGGGGCATTTCTATACTCCGTTCCGCCTTGTGTTGTACTGCAGAGAAAGCTAGAAGCACGAGCTCATAGTGTTGGGAGCTGCTCTTAATGCACGAGAGCTCGTGCTGCCGAAATGTGCCCTAGAGCAAGGAGCTCACGCTTGTAGCCTTTCCCGTGGTACATCATAAGTAGGGCTCCGTGTTTTCGGATAAATCCGAAAAACTCCGAAAAACACCCGCCGGTAAAATTTTGGTCAATTTGGATTTATCTGATAAACTCCGAATGTTTGTGCCAATGCCCCCCCCCCCCTCGCAAAAAAAATAATATTTTTTTATTTTTTTTTATTTTTACAGTTTGATTAGCATGGAGTCAATGGTCCTGGGAAATTGGCACCATAATTATGTTTGAAATCTCAGACCGTTGTCAAAGGGGTCTTGCCGCTTGGCTCGTCGAGGTTGATTCAGGGCAACAGGTCATTGTATCATCTGTGTCACTACAGAAGCCACTCTTTTGGTTTCCAGTTTGGGCCATGGGATTTGGGATTTAGAGAAAGGAAAGCTATGGACCATAGAGATTGTATAAAATAGGAAAGAGGGGCAGTTGAAACTTCTCTATTACATCCTTAACCACTCAACCTCGCGCGGCCACGGGATATATTGATGGGATGACTACAAGCTTCCTTGCGGCTACCTCCGGCAGTTTATTGATTTTAAGGTATCGACGTTTATCGAAGCAACACTTGTGTGCGACTTTGGTCGTGGCACAAATTAATAGTGCCAATGGCAATGGCACGAACGTCAAATTTAACTGAAGAAATTTTAATTGATCCAAGCGCGTTTTATTTTTTAGTTGGCATACGTTTACATCCAGTTATTATTTACATACATATTTTTAATAGGAAACACTGCGAAATTAAACCCTGAATTTCGGAGAATTGGCAATCAAACAGAAATAAACTCCGAATCTTCGGCAAAAAATAAACTCCGAAAAACACCCTCCGAATTTGACGAAAAATAAACTCCAAAAACACGGAGCCCTTATCACAAGGTGAAACAGAGTATAGAGCGTAGCTCCCGACGAGATTGCTCACTAGTGAACCAAGAGTCGTGCATCTGCCAAACACAAGGTAAACATAGGATAACCGGAAGTATTTCTCTCCCCTCCATCATGGCGGCCAGAAGTGGCACGCGCACCCTGTATACACTGTTGCAGATCAAGAAAAGCAGGACAAGCTCCTCCCGCAAAGCTTTTTACTCCTTCCATTTTAGCAGAGAGGAGAGGAGGCGACAAGCAGCAAGGAGGGTCTTACCTCCTCGGCAGTCGTCCTATAAAGTGGGAAGGGTGGGGGGCTTTGCGACAGGAGCTTGCCTTGCTTATTCTAACCTGCCACGGTATTGGGAAGAGATCGGACCCTAGCGCCCCAAACGGCTAACTTTAGAACTACACGGATGGGGGCAACAAATAACAATGACTCGGCCTCAGCAGGCTTAACCGAACGCCACGTCAGCGTTCGGCTGGAGTTTGTGTTCTTCGGTCGACTAAGGGGGTGGAGGGGCTTTTTTACCATTCCGGCCTGCATGAACAACGCTGCATGCACGGTGCATATGCTCAGCTCAGCACAAAAGCCGAAGTGGGTCATGCTGGCATTCTCCGACGACTGCTTTCAGGAGAGATCCAACACTAAACGTCACTTCGTTTATTGTTAGTACATGTGAAAAGTGATTATTGGTCAACTCTGAGCCTTAACAGTTTGCAACATTCATTATATCCCCTTTGTAATCAATAGGATATATAAAGCAACGCAAGGGAGCATGTTGGGTCTCCTGCTTGCAAAGCTGTGGTCTTGCATCGCCAGGTGTTCTGCTCCACAAGACAGCTGGGATAAAGTTAAACAATTATCGGGATTCTGGTGCAAGGCAAATACGTCGTAGACTCCACTTATGAAATCAATCGTAAAGTGATAAGCTAACAAGGACATTCATTCTTTGTGCAGTGTCATAGGCTGTACTGATAATAATGCAAAGGTGCAAGCGAACTGGACAAGGATGACAATAGTAATCCCTGGAGAAGGGGAACAAGGGTTACAAAGGACACACAAATCTCATAACACAGCTAGGCGACTGGCCCCTGGTTTGATACCAGGACCAGGCGGAGCTGTTCGGTTGTGCATCGGTCACCTAGCTGTGTTTGTTCTTTCGCCAACTTGGTCCCCTTCTCCAGGGATTATCGTTAGGCTGTACATTGTCTATTTTTGTGGCTGATATGTGTCGGCAGGCTGTCCAAACCGGCTAGTCGGAACTCACCGCTTCAAACTTCGTGCCAAAAAAAAAAAGAAAAGACGAGCGCGCGCGTAGGGACATCGGAAAGCCGAGCTATGGTTTAAATGGTAAGAGAGTAGAAATAGTACTGGCTACCTTTAGGCTGGTTCACACATTTGCGTCGACCACATTGCGCTGCATTGCGTCGTGCAGCACAGTGCCTCTCCATTGGCTCGCAAGTGTTGCCATAGCAACAGCTCGACGCAAGCAGTCTTAACGAGGCGCAAGTGGTTGCAGTCGCACTCAAACCCAACTGTGTCAACGAACCTTTTGTCTTCACTGCACTTATCAAACGCATTCGAATGCGGAAGCCGGATGCTGGCGTTTCAACGCGTTCAACGAGTATAGTGGAGCTTTAGGTCTACCCACTAATCATTTGAATCTGAACTCACCGTCCCGACGTCCCTACACAGTCTCGTCTCCTCCTCTCCCTCACTTTTCGGCAATGCATAGCATTGTCTGGCCCTGAAGACGGCACCATCTTTAACTGGTTAATTTTCTTCAGACACCTTCCGTAGTTTGTTTTCACTCTGTGCTTGAGGAGTTGAAAAGCATAGATCTGAAAGAGCTTTATTTTCATATGCCAAAGCAACCGTATACAGGCAACTCCAAATAAATAAAGCTCAGAAACTGCAAGACATCCTCGTTTGACTGTTTTTTTCAGCCATTGTGTAAAATGAGCCACACAGCCGTGTGCTGCACAGTGCTCACGAGCACTCATGCCAACAACATTGAGAAAAGTATATGCATTAGTGCCGGATCCAACAAATGACTGCAAGGGATCAGTGGTGGCGGTGAACTTGCAATTGTGAAGGAAAATAGCTCAGCACTGTTCAATGTAGAAAGAGAGAAAAGAAATTTCATAAAATAGACTATTTTGGCCTGACCAGCTACACTGTGCTAGTGGTTTTGTCCAGATCTAGTGCATGTGCATAATGTAGCTGCGAAGATGCTTGAACTACTGAGAGGTTTATTGTGAGATGTAGCATTTATTGTGACAGCTGTTCTTCTACTTGTATCCAAAGTAGTAGTGTTTTCAGGAAACGGAAGGGATTTCGTGAAGGCCACACACCATGTTAGCAGGAACAGCTTTGTCTGAAAAAAGACGAAAAAAAAAAAAGGATGATGATGATAGTGAGATGGGCTGCAAGTACAGAACCTTTTATGAAAGACCTCACCAATCATCTTGGGATAGCTGAGGTTGAGGTTGTTCATAATCTCCACAAATTCAGACTTTGTTTTGCTTAGACGAGGATTAAACTTGATTTCTTCTGCCACAGTTGTTGTAGTTTGTCCTGGAAAAAGAGAAATTTGGGGGAATTGATAAAGCAGTGATTCTCAAATGGGGGTCACAGACCGAGTCTCCAAAGGTGCTTAATTGTACGTTCTGCAAAGCACTTGACCATCAATCAAGCCAAGCAATAAAGCATTTTTTTTTTATATATATTTATGGGTATTGCTTAAAGCTAAATAAATCAAACCATACGTGCCAAGTGAGTAGGGTTGATTATTCTTCATTTGAAAGCTTCCATGTAAATTTGCATGCAATTAGTTTTTCTCCTTTACCCTTTTGTAATTGTAATTGGCCATTACCTCCCCCCCAGTAAATGGGGTCCCCCCTCACTACAGCTGGTCCAGAGGGGTATCCCAGAACATAAGTGGTTGAGAACCACTTGGCTAAAGCATCTACACTGACCCACCAAATTTTCAATCCCTGATAATTTTTTTTTTTGCTCTAAAACTGCATTCCTTGAAACAGACCTACTGGTGAAATCAGCAAACTAGCTGACACAGGAGGCCCAAGACTACTGCTCTTTCTTTGGGAATCTTAAGTTTTGTATTTCAACCACTCTAGTTTTTTACAAAATATTCTGAAAGATAAGGAACTCGTGTTAAAAGGTTGTCTGCTGAAAACCCGAAGTTCTTATGATCTTGTGATGGTTACCTGGCGGGAGTCTAATGATTAGCATAGGCCATTTCTATTCTAATAAACGACACCCCAATTTAGTGTAATCAATGATGGATAATTATACGAAACTCCATGCCAGATTTCGCAAATATCAAAGCCTGTGCTCCCATGCCTGATGTGACGTCACACCAGGCTTGCAATTGTCAGATCCTATGCCTCATTCCTTCGTGGGAACACCGTACACCTAACGCCACCACAGCGTTCCATTTTACTCGCCATTGTAAATTTTGTGGAGAAGTTTGGCATAGCTTTCTTTTTCCGATTTCATAATAATGATTGCAAACTTTGCGATACTAAATAGCATACCGGTAAGGGTAAAGGCTGGACATTCAGAAACTATAGTTAGTTGGGGTAGCTCAGAATATTGCTGGAGTATCCCGTAAAAACTTTGCAGAATGGTTAACAAAACAAACTGATTGCTTCCTACTACTGTGACGTCAACAAATAATACTGGAACAGCTGCGACGTGATAAAGGGCTTTCAGAATTGTCATGATGTAATGCAGTGGAATAAAGGGGATGATGTTACATGCATTTAAGCAAAAATTCTGTTTTTTTCTGAGTTTAATTTTAGTGAAATTGGGTAGGTGTTTTTTGGAGATTGCTTCCTTAGAGAAAATTTTGTGTTGCAGTTTATTTTTGTTAAATTTCTAATTCTGCAAAAATTTTGAGTTTAATGTAGTACTCTCAAGTCTCTGAAATAAAAAAATAAAAAGATATTCAGACACTAATATATGAATGCGTACTGCCAACAGTTAAATGGTAACTCCATTCAATTAAAAAAAAATTTCAGGAGAGAGGGCGATTTCACATTGCCAGGTACCGATGAACGGCCGATTGTCATTTGTTCCACGGAAAGTAACATATTTCTCGTGCAATTTAGCTTTGAACATGATCAGCAACTGAAACTTCAGTAAAAGGTTAAAAAATGCAAAAGGAAGGAGGACAAGCAGAAAACACTAATGACATGGGTAGGCATTTGTTTTCAACTGATTTATTTGCAAGGCCATTTAAACATACATACACCCACTGCCTACATATGTCGATAACAACACTTTACAAAGAACCATCCAAGAAAGTTGTCTCATTATCTGACAAAAAGATAGAAAGTGTGCATGGTAATTTTATGCGCTTTTTATCCTTTTACCATTATGGACCAACTAGCCCGAAGTTTTTAATTCGAAACTTTAGCTTTAACAAAGAAAAGTGGGAAACAAATGCGGGAACTCATCGCTCAACAGTGACTGACAAGCGCCGTCCCTCGTTCGACCATATTCAGCAAGGCACCAATGGTAAGTGTTGGAAACTTTGAACACTTTTTTTAATACGCAAATCGGCCACAGAATAATGCAATTTTGGGTTTGTTTTTTTTTAGACGCAAACCCAGCTCGACACGCGTGGAGCGAAAGCTCGCGCTGCAGAACCCAGGGATCCTGGGTTCGAGCCCCACCCCTGCCCGTTTCGATCTGGATGAGCATCGTACCGGCGTGCGGTCGTGTATCACTACTGCGTGGTGCACGTTAAAGACCCCAGGCTAGTGGTTGTACTGCACTGGCTAAATTGCTCATCTACAGCTGGGAGACTCGTCGCCCCTGTGAGGCTGTATAAACATACACACAACCCAATGAAAATTTATTTTTTAGAGCTCATAGATTGAGTTATGATCATAAAACAAGGATCTTTAAACACATTTTATGCACCTTTAAGCAAAGCAAAAAATACAAATATTTTATTGTTGGTCCACTCTAACATTCAGAGAAGTAGGATGAAAAAAAAAATGGTACAAATATGTATTTCACACCGTCTCGAACTACCATATATTTTGTTTCATCTTAGGACAGAGCACATACGAACGTTCTAACACATACAACCACAAACACTCATACTAAAAGTGCAAGTCACGAGACATTTGCTGCACTTGATTGGGTGAGCCGATGAAAGAACACATACAGGAAGATGAACGAATGCCATAATGTCACGCTTTCAAGCCGTTTGGTTGGTCTCTGACTCGTAGTGTCGGCTGGGTCTCCGCGTCATTCTTGATATTGGGAAAACTATTTAGCCCACTTCAGTATCATCTAGGAAGGCCACATGTCAAATATTACGATCTAATTCTGTCTATATATGGGATAAACAGGCCAGCAAACTTTCAAATAAGCCAAGTCGCCGAAATTTGCTGACTCTAGCGTGTGACGTGAGGCATAATCAACAGCGCAGTCAATACCACGGAGTTGGAGCCACCGACATTGAGCCATTATGTCAGAGTCATGTCTACGTCATTCTCACGTTTTGTTTGTTTTTATTTCTCAGAGCAAAATTGAACGATGACTTTATGAGCTCCTCCTCCTGGTGTTGGCTTAACGGTGTCCACGTGACCACTGTAACACAGATGCACTAATTTGCTCTGCCCGTCGCGCTTCTTGGAGCTCGGAGCAATCTGCTTCGTCTCGCCGCTGTTGTAGTTCGAGAACAATGTTTTGTTTACGATACGAGCGCGGGCTGCATCTCCGATGCCTAGCTGCGATGCCTGGCAAAAGACCCATAGGCTCACAATACTGTGTTGCTGCCTGCTCGAACTACCAGTTGACCAGCCCGGGAGTTTTCTTTCACAAGTTTCCACACAACAGTGCGCGTCTGAATCTATGGACGGACATCCCGTGCTGGTGGAACTCCGGGAAGCCGTTGTCGCCAAATCGCAGAACAATGTTGTGCTCATGACACTAACTAATTTGCAGTTACCAGCTAAAGAGAAACATGCATGAAAATATCAGTTGCGCTGTGAAACCAAATGAATGTACACTAAAGCGTACTTGTCGCAAAATTCATAATTTCCGCTGACTATTTAGCTATTGACAATAAACATGTAGTCTGCTGTACAGCTTCATAAAGGCAGTACAAAATTCAGGCTACTAAAGCAGAAGACACATGCACAGTCAAACGACCATCACGTCAGTCGCACTACGCGCCGGGCGTTTCCCAGTGTACGAACATATATGTCTCGCGCCTGTAGAAACAAGACGCGAAGACTCAGCTATTTTCCGTAAAATAAACGTGAACTTCGAGCTTTATGCGTTAGACCTATGAGGGCACCTGGCATGCCCAAGTGGAGGCCTGATGGTTAATAGGGACCACCTGGGGATCTTGTGGCGTGTAACGAAGGTCTCGGTTACACAACGCCTTCGCAGCAATAAACCATCGAGATTCCAACCCGTAGCAGAAGCCGGGGCCGCAGTGGTGCAAACATCGTTAGATGTTGTAGCAAACTACACTGGCGAAAACTGCGGAGCAGACGACACTTGCACTTTGCTCTACGTTTGCTCACCGTCGCATAGAGGATCACGTGACCTTTCGGACCATGTGGTTTGAGGTGACATGGAGATGACTCTGACGAAACCAGATCAATGTTGCCTGTCACAACCGAAGTTTCGGTTTCGGTATCTGCTGATGTTAAAACTAAGATTACAGAAATATTCCATATTTAGCGAATCTGAAGACATAGGGCTGTTTAGTAGTACTTTGGGATATGGAATCACATGTAAGCCTAAAATTTTTGGAAATGAAAGCAGTTGCGCTTTAAGGTGAAACGAAGTAAAGAGATTCCTTGTCGACCGTGCTAGCCGGTTGATGCACTGGCGGGTTGATTACGAACATCGTCTAAATTCCCAGGCCATGTCAGGAGCTAAAAGTCGCGAGAAAACATTGCAAAATAGTTGGGTGGCGGCTACAGTGATAAGACAGAACCAGGGTCTTGTACGCCTCACGAGTTCACATGATTATGACACCTGCCGCATGCCTCTGTGCCACCTCTCACCAGCACACGCGCACCAAGTTTCACTGCTTTGCACCGGAGTACTAGGAGCAGCGGCTGACATGGGAGAGCACCTGGCCTAGCACAATAGGCTCTGAAATTATGCTCAGTGCTATTGCAGGACTACCTTCTTCGGTCTCGATTGTAGGTTGATCTCAGATTTTAAAAAGCTGTGACGAGAAAGAGAAAAATATTGCGGGTCTATATGTGAATGAATACGGTAGACAAGGTAGTTCCCGTTCAGCTGTCGATCGAAAGAGCAGTGAACCCTGACTTCACTCTGGTTCTAAGAGCAGTGTCACTAATATAAAGCATAAGTGTAGGTTTTCATAATATTTGTGGGTTGTTGTTTTTAAAGTTTATAACATTGTAATCTTGAGTTTGGTAGGCTCATAAAACTTGGGGCACGCATTTTTACAGACAGACGAGTTAGCGGATACACTGGTTTTTGCTGGCAACTTACAGAAACTACCGGGTGTTAATGTTGGAGGGGACAGAAGCTTTGTCCCAAATGAAGTGTTGCGGTATGATTCATTTTTCATTCATTGTTGATTACACATTGTAAATAGGACCTATTTTGACAAGAGCCTTATTTCTAAAAAGAAGGCTGTGTTCCTTTTGCACCCTATCAATTCTTATTAAAAATTGGAAAAAAGTAATATGCTCCACTATCAAAGAGGAACCCTCATTCATTATCAAAGATGATCTCATTTAGCGATGGAATCATTTTTCTTTAATTTTCAAGAGGTAACAGATGTTGGCATCTGCTCCAAAAGCATCAGTGGCTGCTGCAACCCAACAATTTGCCTGCTACTGAACCTGCTACAAAAGGTCAAATGCTGCTTCCATCATTGAATTTGTTTTGGGGAAAAACCTAATATATATTCAAAAACACGAAATCCTAGATATACTTGAATATGGATCCAAATTAAATTTGAATTCAAAAAGAAAAAAAAATAGCGTAGTTTCTGATAAATGGAAGACAGAACTGAAGCAAACAATGCAATTACCCTTGTAGTCATGAGCAGGGTAGAGTTGATAGTCTCCAGGCAGGCTGAACACCTGGCTGTGGACCACATCATAAAGAAGCTCGGCGTTTCCTAGAAAGTGGGAAAAGCAGCATATGAGAAGAACGCTCAACGAAAAGAAAGCTCTTGCTAGTCTCACCCTGCTGGAAGTCTGTCCGGCCGCAGCCACGGATTAAGACAGCATCACCAGTGAACGCTTTCCTCTGTTCATGCCAGACATAGGTCATGCAGCCTTTGGGAGAATCACAGAAACGCCCTGATTAGTGTGCTTTTCCTGTATTAATTTGCTGGTCCTAATTTTCGTGTCAACTCTTGGCATATGCATGCAATGTTTCTTCCCGATAGCTCATTTAACTTGCATTCGACATAGATAAACGCAATGCTTTTGATTCCTTTCCCAGTATCTGCAATCAAAATCCAAGTAACAATCCAAGAACGTTGGAGCAGGCTTGTGAGCTCGAGAAATGTTTACACTGGCTGAAAACGCAATGACAACTACAAAAATGATGAAGTGCTAGCTGTCGTTACAGGAATACTCTCCACTGTAGTTTTCCAAGATGCAACTAGTGACTTCTGTATAAGATGTGCTCCTCTGACCCACCTTAGACCTTTTAGAGGTGCGATCCAAAAATTTAGACTAGTTTTGTAGTGCAAAAAGAGAAGTCAGCACGGTGATGCGTACGCAGTGTTCGAAGGCAGGGACGTTCATGTCTCGTTGTGCCATAGGGCATCGTTCTGTGAACATTTGGAGCTGCACTACGCAAGTTTTTCTGACCACTCGTACGAGAAAAATGTCAATTTCAGCTTAGAGTGCAAACCAAAGCAAGAGCGAACATCAATTCTGCGTCAAACTTGGCAAATCTGAAACGAAGACCCTTGAAATGATTCGGCTGGCGCATGGCGAGAAAGCGGTGAGGCGTGCGAGACGTTTAGTGTGGCACTCGCTTCCCAAAATGGCTGAACATCACTGTAAGATAAAGAAAGGCAGGGGACCTTTCCCGACCTCTCTTCGTCTCCCAGTAATGTTCTTCCATTCTTGAAGCACGAGTGCCACTCAAAACACCTTGCACGCCTCACTGCTTTTTCACCATAAGGCTGTCGAATCATTTCAAAGGTCTTTGTTTTAGATTTTCCAAGTTTGACACAGAATTAATGTTCGCTCTCTCGGTGATTTGCAGTACGTGCTGAAATTGCCATTGTTCTCGTGCGAGTGGTCAGAAAAGCTTGCGTAGCGCAGCTCCACTTGTTCACAAAACAGCGCCCTTTAATGTTATGAAACATGAAGGTCCCTGCCTTCGACAGCTGAGCACACATCACTGTGCTGTCTTTTCTTTATACGCTACAAAACTAGTCTCGGAAATTTTGGATCGTACCTTGTATGTCTGAGTCGCACCTCTGCAAATATAATTTGCTCCCTGCTTATATGCCCAGGGCAATCAAGTTTGGTGTGACTTGTTGCACCATCTAGCTCAAAATATTTGCAACACTGAGAAGGCTTTTTCGCCAGCATGCTTGCTCATGGGGCTGTTCATGCGTCAATTTGAAGGTGTTCATTTATGCGTTTTTGGCCTTTTATTCTTAACATTGCAATCAGATGTCGCAAAATACCAAATGTCGAAGCTGTAGGCACTGTCGTGTACTGGACAGCCGCGATCCCGGTAGCTTAGCAGGCGTGAAGCTCCGCAGGTTCCTGTCGAGGCCGTGGAAAATGCAACGCCGTCGGAGATTAATAAATGCCATAAAACATGTCAAATAAGCATTCCGTTCCCATTGCCCGACTTGGGATGGATTTCTAACTGCGCTATTTGACTCAATATTTGGAATTAATGTGCACGAAGCCCGGCGTTGTCTTTGGGTTCAATGCGATGACTCTAGAGTCAGATCAGTCTTTTGACACACTCGCTGCTCTCGTGCTCCGCAGGCACATCTTGATCGAACGACGTTTTGTAGACGTTCGATCGTAGCTACCGAAAACCGAAATGAGCTGGCGAGTTCTCCGCTTTGCCGATTGCAGAACAGACTGTCGTTTGCGCCTTTAGAATGATCGCGTATCTGCCCACGATGGCTGCTCTATTTCGGCCCGTGTTTCTATGCAGTTCTAATTTTGTCCCCGCTGCGAGAAAACAGTCTACTCAAAAAATAATTTAAAGAAAAACATACTTACCCCACGAGAATAGAATATCCCCGTGATGTTTGTTTGTGTTCCGTGATGTTTATTTGTGTTCTACGTAAAAGTGACCAGCATATTCAATCGACAAGAACGAGCATCAGCTTGCGACGAGCAACTGCGTACAGACTACAGCCAGCTTGCACGAAAAACCCATTTCTCGGGCACCATAATCGTCTGGAAACAAACTGATCACCAAAATGAGGTCAGCTATTCACGCGGGAAGAGTTCACTTGGAAAAAAAGGGTGGGTAAGCGCGAGAGTTCTGCTCTTGTAGAGGAAGGAAGCTTGACGAAGACTTTGCTTTTTTTATCTTGAAATGCGCGCAAACAACATAAAAAATAAAGAAGGTTCATTTTGTTCTGCTAGCTCCCGTTTTGGGTGGTCCTCTGTACCTATCGAGGAAAGCACGTACTAAAACTCCCTAATGCTAGAACGATACAACGACGCACGCATGCACATCTATATATTTAATGTTTGATAGATTCTTAAAACAGTCGGTAGTGTAGTGCGCGACAACGCAATGCTTGGAGTTGGTAATAACGTAATCTCACAAGGGTACGCTGGCGGCGCTGCCGATTTTAGCCGTCCCAGTGTTGCCTCATTTGGCCACGGTGGCGCTGATGATCAAGCGACGGTGGTGCTCTCTGGAACCCTGCCCAGAGCCTATGTGACAGCAGTTGATGCCAAATTTTCTTTATACACGAACTCATCTCTGTGACGTCACGGCGCGGTGGTGGCGCGTCGGTCGCACTTCCGGTCTGGGGCTGTGGGCAGAAGTCCCCATGCCAGACGTATATTCCTGCGTTGGTTTGAGAGGAACCAGACGAAAACCCGCCTTCTCGTCAAAACGCCGCGGCTGGGGCCGTACCAAAAGTGTTGAGAAAGGTTTGAAGGTCAGTTTCCACGTGCTCGGTTCGTCCGAGAATCAGATATGTGCCGTGAAAAGGGAAAAGCAGACGCCGTCGGACAACGATTGCTTGGGCGGGAAGCACTTTGGGTTGAATTCACGGATACTTGAGGTCATCAGATTTATTTGTTTTGTTCCAACATGAACGCCAGAAAACTGTCAAGTTGTGCGGACCACCTGTGGACTACATTCAGTGCGTCTTCAAGTTCAAACGGCCGCCTGATTGTTCGAATTGTCGTCTGCTCTTCCAAACGTTTCTGCTTGTCGTCTGCTCTCTTAGACGAAGCCGGTCCGTAGACCAAATGTTGGCCCGGCACTTGCGATAAGAAGTGAGTGCAGGCCTCAAAAGACTTAAATTTGAAGGTTGGTAGGCAGGCTCGATGTAAACAGTAGATACAAGGAGATGTTGGTCATTGCTACAAGTGACCAACACCGACTTGGTATGCCTAATTCAGTTCGTCCGATTCTGCTAGCGATTTTCAGTATCGTCGTCGACCACCTCAGCTACGGTTCACGCTTTTGCAGCCCGAGCGGCGTCGCGACTGAAAATTCCAAGCGAAATCTCATTATGCGAATCAGGCTTTAGCGTACAATCTGCGGCTTCCACGCGGAATGAATCGCCACATGTCACATTATTCACGCGAAGTTTTGCGGTGTAACGAGCCTCGCTAATTTCGCTGACGCAGCTCAAGATAGTCAGACATCGCCAGGAAGACGTAGAACCAACAATTCGAACGCGAAAAAGGGCAGGGGGACTCACACCGACGCCGACAACATCGCATTTCAATGGTTTGTTTATGGGCGACGGCGAGCTTTTTGCCCACACCCCCATCGCGCATGCGCGGCGCCGGTGGCGTCCGCTAGGGGCGCTCCGGTTTGTTTGTAAACATGAGTTGGTGTATAAACGTTTTCACAGAAACTAAAAAAATTTATATGAATCCTTCAACAACTTGCTTTAGAAAACTAATCTACATCAACTGAACGACCGTGAAGACTCTTCACTAACAGCTTGACTGAATTTCTTTGTGTGCAAGAGTAAGAGTGTTGTTTCACCTTTCTTAAGGAGATAACAGATACATTCCTTGTGTATCTCGAATCTCCCTAGAAAAAGTGAAACATCATTCCTGGGTGATTCCACGTCAGTTCATGCAATGATGGTCCGGGTCATAATTTAGATATTTTTGTTAAAAATATATATGAAAGCCATGTTCTTGGGAGGAACATTCAGCTAGATATGAACGCCGTAACAATTTTTTTCGCTGAGATATAAAATAGAGAAGCTTGAGGCGTGGAAATTGAGAAGATTTCACAATGCTACTTTGCACAGTCGTCATTTCCTTATCGAACCTTTCACGGCACCATAACTTTTTTAATAGGTTTTACAAAAGTTATACAACACATACACAAACAATTAAAAATATCCATAAAATATTTCAATGCAAACAAAAATATCAAACATGGCACAAAAACGCGTTTTAGAGACATATTCACAATTTTTTTTGCAAATAAACAATCTTTCATAATACTTCACAAAACATATCAAAATGCGCGTATTTAAATATTCTTTACGAATATATAAAGATAATATGCCCACCCTTAAATATATTTTTGTTATCAACGCGGAAATGCGGCTGATTTCTCAAAATGTGGCAAGATTGGGCGTCGATATTTAAAAAAATCCATCTTTTATTTTCTTTAAACTCCCCTTGGCACTTTGCAGTGACTTGAACTAACCTGTGATGGCAAAATATTGAGTAACATATGGCCTCCAAGCGGGTAAAGCTACGACAAACCTTCACTCGGAGCGAGCCGATGTCTTCGTCATAGCGGCTTTGCCGCACAGCACCAAACGTTTTGAGCGTTAGTTATGGCATGTATTTTATATTATTAAAATTCTTTTTTTATGAGCTTTGAGTATTAGTGACGTGAAAAGGAACTTTGAGCTGGAATACCATTAATTAGCTTACAATTCACAAAAATAAAACGGCCCCTCTGCAAATTCGCTACCTATGCATCATACATAAGCTTAAAACTCTCAGTTGCGCGAATGGCCATGTATACATCTGGCCTCTCGGCATATGATGACTTTCACAGATGAGTTTCCTGGATTCCTTTGACAGGTTTTACGGTGGTCCACTTTGCTTGCTTCACCGCACGAAACTCTCGAACTCGAAGACAGTTGTGAGCACTGCGCAGAGTGGTTTAACGCGTTTTGCGAAGTGCTGAAGGCATGTAGTTCCCACCAGGAACGCAAGCGATTGTACGTGCTTCTGCCACCAATCATCCTGAAGAAAAAAATATTGCGTCTGGTGTCGGAATCGACTGCCTACATGATTGATCAAACACGAAAACTGAAGCGCAAAGGTGGTGTTTGGGCAACCCCTGATCCCTACATGGGGAAAAAGGCGAATGCCGAAGACGTGAGGGTTGCAATTGAGTACTACACACGCGACGACCTCGCATGCTCTGTTCAAAGTCCCAACAAAAAGGACGTCGTCAAAGCCATGATCAACGACATGTTCAAAGTCGTAAAAAGGTTTATGACCCGCTCTATTAAGGAAGCTTACCAGCTGTTTAGGAAGGACCATCCCCATCCCGAACTAGGCATCTCCAAATTTTATTCCCTATGACCAAAATGGGTATAAAAAAAAAAGTCCCGAGCACGAGGTGTGCGCATGCATATATTGCGTCAATTTTCAGTTGCTTTTAACGGCAATAACAAATGCCCCAAAAAGACATTTACTGAAGACGACCTCAAGCGCATCTACCTCTTCTGTGCTCCACAGAACGATTGCTTTCTGCGCCGTTGCGAAAAGTGCCCAAAAACGCAGAGCATCTCGCTGCAGTCGCTTCATCTCGACAAATACGAAGAGATCTGTTTCGTGTTATGGGACGCTGGCGAACTCGTCAAAAAGGTTATGGACACTTCTGCCTTCCTGCGGCAATAGGAGAGCGAAAAGTATATGAGGCATTCTTACATCCTTGACCTTGAACGAAGCCTGATACATGACACAAGAACCGCCTTACCACCCAAGGCAGTGATGTTCCACTTCGATTTTGAGGAAAAATGGGCAGTACTCTTTCCAACCGAAGTGCAGAGTTTTCATTGAAAATAAAACTCAAGTGTCTCTCTCCACAAGTGTGGTTACGTCCACGCAAGGCACGCAAAGCTTTGCCGTTGTCACCGATGGTACACGACACATGACACAGCTCACGCTCTTCTAGCCACATAGGCCATAAAAGAGTATGTTAATGTTCATTTCCCAGTCTTTTTTGAAATAATTTTTTGTATCAGACCTCCGTCTGATACAAAAAAAACATTTGCGGCGGCGCATTACAAGAATCGCTTCCAATTCCACGATTTGTCTCGGAAGCCGCACTCTTCGGCAAGATGGATCTTTTCAGCCACTAGACACTGAGAAAGCGCTTGTGATGAAGTAGGTGGAAGAACCAACGCTCACCAAGTTGAGATGTTCGCTCAACTCAACGATTGCCACCGCTAAAGACTTTGTGGAAGTGCTACGTAAAAAAGTAACAAATGTCTGCATGTTCCACCTGTCTGTGGAACAGGTTCGAGAGTTTTGTGCGGTAAAGCAAGCACAGTGGACCACCATAAAACCTGTGAGAGGAATCCAGGCTTCCCATCTGTGGAAGTCATCATATGCCGAGAGGCCGGATGTATACATGGCCACTCGCATAACTGAGAGTTTTAAGCTTATCTATGCATAGTTAGCGAATTCGCACAGTGGGGCCGTTTTGTTCCTGTGAATTGTAAGCTAATTAATAGTATTCCAGCTCAAAGTCCATTTTTGCATCACTAATACTCAGCCCTTATGAAAAAAATAATTTTAATAATATAAAATACATGCCATAACTTAGGCTCAACACGTTTGGTGCTGTGCGGCAAAGCCGCCTTGACGAAGACGTCGGCTCGCTCCGAGTGAAGGTTTGTCGTAGCTTTTCCCGCTTGGAGGTCATATGTTACTCAATCTTTTGCCATCACAGGTTAGTTCAAGTCACTGTAAAGTGCCACGGGGAGTTAAAAAAAAATAAAAGATGGAGTTTTTTAAATATCGACGCCCAATCTTGCCACATTTTGAGAAATCAGCCGCATTTCCGCGTTAATAACAAGACAATTAAGGGTGGGCATATAATTTTTGCATATCCGTAAAGAACATTTAAATACTCGTATTTTGATATGTTTTGTGAAGTATTATAATAGATGGTTTATTTGCAAAAAAAATTGTGAATATGTTTCTAAAACGCGTTTTTATGCTATGTTTGATATTTTTGTTTGCATATAAATATTTTATTGATATTTTTAATTTTTTATGTATGTGTTGTATAATCTCTGTAAAATCTATTAAAAAAGTTATGGTGCCGTGAAAGGTTCGATAAGGAAATGACGATGGTGCAAAGTAGCATTGTGAAATCTTCTCAATTTCCACGCCTCAAGCTTCTCTATTTTATATCTCAGCGAAAAAAATTGTTACGGCGTTCATATCTAGCTTAATGTTCCTCCCAAAACCATGGCTTTCATATATATTTTTAACAAAAATATCTAAATTATGACCCGGACCATCATTGCATGAATTGACGTGGAATCACCCTCCTACGCTTGCACCGCATCTAGGACTTGTGCACATAAGAATTTGTTCGAGCAGCCCAAGTCTTTGAAAGTAAGTTGGCAAAGAATCAACCAAAATAGATTTGTTGACTAAGCTCTACCTGAAGCTGACTGAAGGCGTTACACGATTGATAGGTAAATTGACGACACTTAATTAAGTAAAGAACATATGGGCACTCAAAATGGACATGAGAATTATGCGAATAATTTTTGAAATACCACTGGTGTGTCCGGGGGTCGCCCTGGCTTCCAGTTTGATGGAACCCATGCCAAAGACCTCGCCGGGGGTCAAGTGCTTGTCAGCCTTGGCCTGGGAGGCAGCTGAAATGACACTCTGGCAGCCCTCTATGCGCTCCTTCAGCTTGCCACTGCCAGTGATATGGTCCGCATGCACATGAGTGTTCACTGCAAGGCATCAGGCACCTTATCATTTGAAGCACTGCAGGGGGCATTGTTCTAAAGTAATTCATTGTAAATAATTAAATTACTTGCACAATGCCAGAGTCTGTGCGACTCCCTACCCGTAGTGAGCTGGATTTCAAACAAAGTCCACCCAAACATCTGCCTGTTTAAAGTTGACGTAATGCTTGAGCTCGGTGCCATGGGACGTTAAGAACTCAAGGTAATAAAGTCTCCCGAATGATTATGAAAATATTTAAAGCTTACTGACGACCATAAATTCATCAGTAAATTGTTTCTGCTGCAGTTGTTGTGCTTTTATTAAAATTAGTAAAAAAAAAGTATTTAAAGTATTTGGCAAAGTGGAAGCAACAACAGACAATGAGCACGGCAGGCACTACTTCGAAATACCATGTTTTGATATGCCTGAGAACGACAAATGTTACCAAGCCACACACAGAGAACCACCATTAAGCTATTTTTTCTGCTTACAGTGTGATTAGCACAAATGAAGCTTGAAAACTTACAGCTAGCAACAAAAGAATAGCTGCTCGGTATCTGCATGTTCTTTTATTCTAAGAACACGAAAATACACAAGGAAGATTAAGCATACACATAATTGGACACTCAAAGGTTGCATATTTATGCTTCCCTAAAGAAATATGCATTACTGCAATGCATGGCAGTGAGGAACCCTTATTAATGGTTTGTTAGTATACATAACAGAACTTAAAGGATCTGCGCAACAGTTTCAGTGCTTTGCTTAAATAATTTGGGAGTTGGCGTCTCGACCTGTCCGAAGTTAAGAACAAAAAAACACTTTTGCCTGCATGTCCTAGTTTTTATTTTAAAAATTCATAAAGGTTGAGGTTTTCGGCCCCTCTCAACTCCTTCGCCATCTTCCGAGTCATGTGTGTTGTGACGACGTGAAAGGTCTCTCTCTAGAGCCATCAGTGAGCAGCAAGAACTCACCCGCTCACGACCACGTGACCACGTGCTTGCGCAGCGTGATCACACGGCGAAAGGAGGAAAGTGCCAGGGTCCGGCCATCCCCAACTGGCTCTGCCCCCGTTCCCCTCCGGCTTGTGGCGGCTGTTCGCGGTAGCAGATAGAGCTGACAGTTTCGTTGACCTCGGATAGATGGTGCCTTTAAAACTCCATACAGTAAAAGTTTTGCCAATGATAACAGGTTTTTGACGCATTTATATTTATGTTGGAATGACAAGATTTATAGAAAAATTACCTTTTATCGAGCAGGTATTTGCACAACTTGCTATCCTTTTACGAGTCCCGCCTTGACGTCGCACCATGTGGTTTTCATGCACCGCTCGCGGTTGCAGGTCGTAAGATATTTTACTTTTTGCTCCCCGATTACGCGGCAAAATTGCAACATTGTGAAGGAAGGAGGTGTGTTTTCTGGCCCTTGTGACAAGATAATGTCAAAAGTAGAAGATGCAAATTCTTTCAACATTAAAATCGTTGCACAGCTCCTTTAAGGTCAATCACTCATTCTTAAGCAAGGCCATGCCGAGCTTCCAACAGTATAGTCACCTGCATAGACAAGCTTCAGTCCCAGCTCTGACAAGAGCTTGGTATCCCTGTCCACTTGTTCCAGGACTGGGTCAATTAGGAGGGCCTGTTTTGTGTCCAGGTCAGCAAGGAGGTAAGTGTACGTCCAGCTCTTCTCGTCAAAAAGCTAAAAAAAATATCATATTAAAATTATTACATGCACTAAGAAAGAAAAAAAGAAAGATATTTTCCGCAGCAATGCAGAAATCCTAGCACCTTGATAACAGCCTGATCTGGTCCCTCTCACCTTGACCGAAAACATTTCAGTTACAAATTTTCCCACTGAGGTGTATTTGCAGAAGTAATGAAGTAACAACAATGAGCACACGATTTGTCCTTGTCACCAATCAATGCCTCAACGAGCATTCAGGTAATGGGATGTATCTAATAGTTACAATGACGGCAAAGGTCAAACCCTAAGAATGTCTGGAACTCGGCACATGCTTTATGTTCCGCCAACCCCAGTGTAGGGCTACGTTGAACACTGGCATCATATAATCGGCACCAGATCACATGGCCGCTTGTTCTGGCTGCGAGTTGAGAAGGTGAACGCTGGTCCTTTTTATAGAATTTTTTTACGGCAACTTGCATTGCATGTACAAAAAACTAACACAAGTTTTGCATGTTAGCAATGTCACAGATTAATTCTAAGTCTTACTGAAAGTAAAAATAATGGTTGTATAACCCCTTTAAGAACATATATTCTATGGCAAAGTTCGACATAGTTTTTTTTTTATTTATTTAAAGAATACTGCGGCTCACATCTGTGAGCCATAGCAGGGGTGGTTACATAATGGCATGATGTGATGTACTTATGAGCACTTTTCCTGTGGCGGAAGTGATTGATTCAACAAAAATATCAAGTGATGGGAGGGTGACTATTTCATTCGTCAAAGAATTCCATTCACTGATTGCCCGAGGAAAAAAAGAATATTTGAAGACATCGTGCTTAAGAGGATATTGTTTAATGGCCCTAGTATGGTTCAGTCTAGCTGATCCGCTTGATAAAAATTGTATATATCACTACTGACATTAAAGATTCCATTACTAAAAGAATATAAATTTCGCAATGAATCAAGTTGTGGGCAATGAATCAAGATATGAGAACCATTTGTACTAAAGATAATTGCAGGCACAAACACAATTGAAGAAAAAAGGCAACCACTCATGGCATCAACCCCGACTGACCGGCTTCTCTGTTGCTTGAATAAGCATGTGGATTTAACTGGCCAGTGTCTTCTCCAGCATTCGTATCTGGCGCATGCATTGCTCGCTTTCCAAAGCGGTCGATAACTTAGGCAAGCCAGAATGTGGGATATTCATGCTACCAATGCAAAGATGAGAGCACTGCGACCATCAGTAGTTCTAAGGATGACGTCAGTCCTGCAGGCTAAAGAGATATGGGGTTTTATTGGTATTTTGGTAATGGTGTCCTGTTTAATCCGTGCATTGAAAGATCAGAATTATCAAGTCTCTAAAAGTCTAAATTCACAGAATATTTAATAAAAATTCTTCTCTGGAGAAAAAACATTCCAAAGACATCATGATGTCGGATGGTCATGACATCAATATCTGCAGACACAACCAGCTGCAGGCAAAACAGAATTATGTAGCCTTCACAGGTCGAATAATTCGCTCGCTCATGCACGAGATCCTGATCTCGGGGCATACAGCACACCTTCAAGCTCTCAGAGTACACAGGCCGAGCCAACGCCTTCAGGCTCTCCAAGTACACCCCCCAGGCCTAGCAAACTGCCGTTCTGGAAAAGCTGAAGGCCTGTCCAAACAGGACACTTCAGAAATCGTTAGGCGACATGACCCCGGCAAAAATTGTAAAAGTTGAAGCGTCCGGCAGTCCGATGTCTGTTTGAACACCACCGAGCCAAAATCACGATTTTCCTCCTCACTTTCCATTGACCTCGGTGCTCATCAGACTTTATGTTACATGCCACCTGCCAATAGGACTGAAGCGCTCAAGTTTCGCCGCTGACTAGAGCGCCATTCCAGCCCCAGGCGGGACGCCACAAGCCAAGTGGCTCGCGCTGTTTTTCGCCTCACTTTTCCGCCATAGGCGGTCAGCTACGCTAGTCAATAATGTTAATTGTGTTGTTTATTGCAGAACAACCTCCGATATTGTAGTAGTCAGTCCTTAATATTCTACCACTTCCCTGAAAAGCCGGACGAGACTCAAACAGCGCGAAGCGTGGAACACGGCAGTGCTCCGACGAAAGCAAGTTTCTCGTTCGTTTCAGGATCCGTTTTGCTAAATATGCCAGAAAAACTAAATGAAATTGGTGTCAGAACAAAAACAGCATGAATACCAAATGCGGAAAAGTCAGTTGGCCGTGCCTTCGTGACAGAGTATTTGATTTAAGTGTGTGCATCTGTCTCTTCCCTAGTGGTGTTTGACGAGACCTCGATGATGATCTTGGATCCCTTCGGCAGGAATATTTCAACTATAATTACTGACAGAATCGGGACGGCAGGGAGGAGCTCCAGTTACCCCGCCTCCAGCACAGCTTCCAACCTTCGATATGGCTTCTATCTCGCGAGCCTCGAGCGTGCATGTGCAGCCAAATTACAGCGAAAGGCAACGAAGATGTGCTGGAGGTCGGCCATTCAGAAAAGATGCCCTGCAATTCTTACTTTGTCAGCAGTCATGCAGCTAGAGGAGGGCCTTATGGGGGCTGCGAGCATAGCTTTGTCCTGTTGTGTGTGTTCCTTAGTCGCTATCCCAGTTTTTTTTAGCTCTTTATCCATCATGTACAACCCTATAATATACACATGCATATGGCTTCCCAACTACACACACAAGAAATGCATATCCCAGCCACCTCAACCAGCCCTCCCTACGAAAAAAAAAAGAAAAGCCTGGCCATGCCACTGCTCGTCAAGGACTATAATAGTTTTTATTATTTTGTCTCGGTTTTCTGCTGATCGCACCAGATATTTTATATTGTTGATTAATATTTCAGGGGGGGCGGTTCAGTTTGAATTCTGCCTACGTCGGCCAGAAACAGGCGCGACCGAAAAAATCCAGGCGGATTTTTTCGGTCACGCACCAGTCACCTAGCTGTGTTTGGAGATTTGTGTTTGTCCTTTGTCCCTCTTGTTCCCCTTCTCCAGGGATTATTTTCGTCATCCTTGTCCAGCTCGCTTGCACCTTTGCATTATAATCATGGATGGTTGATTGTAGTAGGATTCCTTGGAGGCTTGCACGCGCTCCGTCCAGTAGGTTTTATCAGATCAAAGGCTAGACGTGAAGCAAGCAGCTTCGTCCGGTAGGTCACGTGCTAGGGCGTTAAGTGAGGAAGGTAAGGAGGAAAATGAGAAAGAGGCAAGCCGTCAAGGGAGCTTGGCTTGTGGAGGACACGGCTGACGTCATGCCTCCTCCTACCCTTCTAATCTCCTTGTGTTGCGTGATAGCCAACGGTAGTGATAGTACAGATAGGGTGACGCTCAAGGAGGGTAGGATAGGAGAGGGCGTGACGTCAGCCACGTAGCCTTCACAAGCCATGCTCTCTTGACGCCTCGCCTTTCTCAATTTTCTTTGTACTCTCCTCTTTTATCAGGCCAACGTGACCACATCACATGACCGTAGCTAGCCTTTGTCTAGCCTTCGATCTGATAAAACCTACCAGACGGAGCGCGCGCAAGCCTGCAAGGAATCCTTCTACAATCAACCATCCATCTCACACGTGACATGTCACGCGCACCAATCGCCAGCGAGATCTGCAGTCACGTTGGCCACAACACCATTCAAACTTTTTATGACTAGGCTTCACCAATATAGCAACGTGCCCCCTAATAGTACTTATAACCTCCTTGGTGACGCTGGACGTGGGTAGGTTCTTGAATGCAAAAGTACAAAACCCTTACCCTGGAATAGGAGCAAGAAAATTTTGCAACATGCCCAAGGATACTAGGGCAAGGAGGTTAGAAAAACTAGGAGGGGGCACGTTGCAATATTGGTGAAGCCTAGTCATAAAAAGTTTAAACAATGTTGTGGACGTGACCATAGATCTCTCTGGCGATTGGTGCGGGTGACATGTCACGTGTGAGATGGATGGTTGATTGTAGAAGGATTCCTTGCAGGGTTGCGCGCGCTCTGTCCGGTAGGTTTTATCAGAAAGAAGGCTGGACTGTTGTGTATTCTAGTACCCCATAGCTAGACGACGGCTAGCTACGGTCACGTGATGTGGTCACGTTGGCCTGATAAGTGAAGAGAGTAAGGAGGAACATGAGAAAGAGGCGAGGCGTCAGGGGAGCATGGCTTGTGGAGGCTACGCGGCTGGCGTCATGTTCTCTCCTACCCTTCTATCCTCCTTGTACTAGGGGCCCAGCAGAACAGATGGACAGCATTGGCAGGTGGAGTGTGACGTAAAGTCTGACGACCACCGAGGTAACATTACCTAGAATAATCAAAGCCTCCGCATTAAACATGAGGAAGATACATAGAAAGGGGGGACGGACAAAACATCATCACAGTCGGATCGCGCTAACTCAGCTATTGGGCCCGACCCGACCTTTGACGCGCTGATTCAACACGAACCCTGACCGAACACTGACGTAGCACTCGTGCTCAATCTCAAGCCTCGATCGATCTGACTGTGATGACGTTGCGGTGACCTTTTGCACCCGCCTTCTGCTTATCTAGGTGCTGTTGGCCGAGGTCACGAAAAAGTAGAGGAAGCGTGGAGGAAAAACGTGATTTTGGCTCGGTAGTGTTCAAATCGGACTGCCGGACGCTTCAATTTCTACAATTTTTGCTGGAGGCGTATCGCCTCACGATTTCTGTTTAGTCAGGCCTGTAATCGTAGCTTCTAGGGTAGTTTAGGAACACAACGTGGTTGGCTAAGTTTAACCAGTTTAACACTTGACAAGTTCGGTCTCAATAAACGAGTGTAGTCTGATACATTGCCATTCTCTGATACATGGCCAAGTCAATGTGCGCGTTCCGAAACCGGTAACATCAGCTGACCTTCATCAGCCTTCGCCTCACAAAGAATGGCGAGCGAATTACGCGATCAAGGGCATATTACACGATTGCTGTGCAAGAAAAGACAACTGACCAAACTGACTTACCTGCCTGAACAGCTGACTATTGTTCCTCATGTCCGTGGGTTTGGAGAGACGGCTGTAGGGTCGATCGTAAGCCCCGCTGACCAGGACGTTCCTAAATGAAATGTTCAAGCACGTTCGCCACAGATAATCGCTTCTTTGAGAGGCGACCGGTCGAAGCGTTCGCAGAAGTTGCCACCCAATGAAAGACGTCATTTCACTCATTTCACAACACAGTTCCCGCTGCTTTTCGCTCACATTTATTGCCTTTATCGCACTGCGTTTCTCAAAAGTTACGGCAGATGGCGCCACAGGTTCCGCAAGATAACAAAAGGAAATATTCCAGATGAATGGAGGCTTAGTAGGATGAGTATGATATATAAGGGAAAGGGAGATAAGTCTGATATTAGGAATTATCGTCCTATAACCGTGACACCGGTTATTTACAGGTTGGTAATGCAGATTATAAAGAACAGACTGGAGGAATGGGTAGATTGCGAGGGCATACTGGGCGAGTTACAGAACGGGTTTCGAAAACAAAGAAGGTTGGAGGACAACTTATTTTCTCTAACACAGTGTATAGAAATAGCGCAAAAAGAAAACAGACAGCTCTGGCTGGCATTTCTGGATATCAAGGGTGCCTATGACAATGTGAACCAAAGAAACCTGTGGGACATAATGGAGAACTTAAACCTAGATGAAGGACTAACAGCACTATTAAGGAACATTTACAAAGATAACAAGGTGATTATAACATGGGAAGGAAAGGCGACAGGGAAAATAGAGATAAGACGAGGCCTTAGGCAGGGGTGCCCGTTATCGCCTTTGCTGTTTATGTTGTATCTGAGAGGATTGGAGGATAGACTAGAGAAGAGTGGGCTTGGGTTCAACCTTTCTTACAGTAAGCTAGGCCAAAAAATTCAGCAATCCTTACCGGGATTGATGTATGCGGATGATATTGTACTAATGGCTAACAACAGGACAGAGTTGCAGGAATTAATGAGCATCTGTGGTAGGGAAGGAGAGGAATTAGGTTTAGAATTCAGTAGCGAAAAATCGGCAGTCATGATTTTTAACGAGGATGAAGTTGAGAGGCTGAAGATACAGAATATTACAGTTGAGAGAGCTAGTAAATACAAGTATCTAGGAGTATGGATATGTGATGGTGCAGAATATCTCAGAGATCATGAAAAGTATATAATAGGTAAGGGCAACAGAAATGCAGCTGTAATGAAAAATAGAGCACTTTGGAATTACAACAGGTATGAGGTGGTGAGAGAGATTTGGAAAGGGGTCATGGTGCCTGGCTTGACTTTTGGAAACGCAGTGCTATGCATGAAATCCGAAGTGCATGCGAAACTAGAAATAAAACAGCGCGGAGTAGGTAGACTGGCTTTGGGGGCACATTGCAAAACGCCAAACCAGGGAGTACAAGGAGACATGGGATGGGCATCATTTGAGAGCAGGGAAGCGGTGAGCAAGGTAGAATTTGAGGATAGGTTGAGGCTAATGGACGGGGAGCAATGGGCACGAAAGGTTTTCAGCTATTTATACATGAGGAGTGTAGACACCAAGTGGAGACAGCGCACTAGGAAATTAAGAGGAAAGTTTTTGGGCTATAGCGAAGATACGGAAGAGCAAGTCTCAGTTAAGAAGAAAGTTAAGGCCACAGAAAGAGATCGGTGGCTAGAGGGAATGCAGGCAAAGACGGCTCTGGAAAGCTATAGATTAAACAAAAGAGTTATTGCCAAAGAAAGCATTTATGACAATTCTAGGGGAAGCTCATTGCTGTTTGAGGCAAGAACGGGTGTTCTGCGAACCAGAACATACAGAGTGAAGTACCAGGAAATTGATACAGTGTGCACTGCTTGTGGAGAGGAGGACGAGACGGCTGAGCACTTGATACTCTACTGTAAAGGGCTTCACCCTATGCCTACCGAAGACAACATAGATTTAATAAAGTCATTGGGTTTTAGAGACAGCGAAGGGAGAGTGGATTTCAAGACTGTAGAGATTACCAAGCAAAGATTAAGTGAATGGTGGCAGAAATCGAGAGAAAACTAGGTATTTTCTTATTCACTGATGGCAAGGGGGTTTCATAGCCTCACTTTCTTTGCACTGCGGAGTGAATATAGCATTCACATTTAAATATTCTAAGCTTAAATGGTAAAACAAAATGGCTAGGTGGCGTAAGCTACCGCCCGATCCAAAGGGCTCAGCCGTATTCATCCATCCATCCATCCAGTGCAGGTTTTTTTAAAATGTATGATCAGGCAGCTTTTGGCGCTTTTGGTCTTGTGGTACACGTACGCAGGCGCGCTGCTTGAAGAAGCTGAAAGAATATTACTGCTCGCGCGAGTGCGTAGGCCACTTGTGTCCCCCCTAATATCTTCATACCACCTTCATACCACGCACACACTCGCGCGAGCGGCGAGCCGCCTTGTGTGTGTACACGATTGGCTGTGACAGCGACAGCAGGGGCGCCCTATTGGCTCATTCGCTGAACGTCGTAAACAGTTTGATTGTTCTTAGTGATTCTTAGCCTGCGCTGCCAAAATGCTTACGGGCTCTGCCCTCGTCGCCTGCAAAATATGTGCGAGAGAACGCGAATCTCGCACAGGGCGCGAGCATTGGTCTTTTCTGAGCCTTGATTTGCACAGGGCGTTCGCAAGATGGTAATTCACGCTACAAGCAGGGCCGTAACCAGGGGGGGGGGGGGGGGGGGGGTCGGGTATTGACCTGATCTGGTAATGCATGCAGGCGCCGCGCCTCCAGCTGCAACCGTGAAGGATGGGGACACTCCGAGGGTTGTTGTTGTTTTCATGTTGCCTGCCTTTAGCGAGTTCTTACTCAAGCGGTTTGAAAGTTCCATGGGTAGGCGTCACTGGAATGACCTCGCAGCTGGGCGTCTGTTCCCATGGTCACCTCGTCGTCAGCACATACTCCCTTGCAAAGCCCGACTCCCCCGCGCACAAACGAAGACACGGATAATCCGTTCATGGAAGCACCTTCCCGCTTCCATCTGCACCTGGCACGAGCGACGATGCTTGTTCACGTAATCATTCGCGTCCCTCCGATACCGTAGTCGCCGGCGAGGATTGCGAGTCGCCCTTGGGAGATCCTTTTGTTAGACCCGGCGTCAGCGGTGAAGTGTACTTCGTTTCATCTTTTGTTAAACCAAAACAATTCTTTTCTTCAGTAGCGCAGCACTAGCACCGCAACGAAACGCGCAGTCGTCCGGATGATCTCATCGTCGTGGCGCGAGACTTGAATCCTTGACGGACAGGTGCACTCGCTCAGCGTACTCTCCGAACGTCGCGGGAATAAAGAGGAGCCACTCATAACAATCTCATCTTGCCTAAAAAAAAAAAAAAAAAAAAAAAAAAAAGTAGCTTTTTTTTTTTTTTTTTTTTTTTTATAAAAGATTTTTTAGCCGTGGTAAACCTCACATGTTTCGTCATAGACACCGAAGCTGCTGACACTCGCTTTCCCTAAGGAGCCTTCATTTGCACATGCACATGAAGGCACCCTAGCTTTCCCGACCCTGCAGAGCTTGTTTGGTTGGGAGGGGGGTTTATATCAATTACAACTGGCGAATAAAAAAATAAAAAAAACGGCACGGAAATTACAGTTGTTGCAACACTTACATGTTTATGTTTCTGATCTTCAAATACTTCAATAGAGACGCTAATTGTTCACCATGATATGGAAAGAAAGCCCCGACAATTCAGGAACGTTTTCGATTTGGTTTTTATTGGTGTATTTTTTTTTTTTTTGCGAACATTTTTTTTTTATGTTGTCACAGAACAAATTCATCATCTGTACTCTATACCGCAATTATGCAATTTTATTTAGTTTCGAAACCGCCTCGAAGACACCGTACGAGGCAAAGCGATAGCCTACAGATCCAGAGTAAGTTCCACGGATCCCCAGACGTTCAGTGATCATACTTAATGATTAAACGTCTGATTTCACCCTTCTGACAGTTGCGATCAAAAGTGGTAAAAATTGTTAACATTCGTCTGCTGTACCGGTTGTTAATAGCTCAGTTGGTAGAGCGTTCCTGGACCTGGCGAATATTTTCAGCGACGACAAGTCGCCTAGAATGCGAGAAGTGTGCTCTATTTCAGGTATGAGGAAATTTATTCATGCGTAAATCTGTTCCACCTTGTAGATTTCCCTTAAATTATTTGATGTGCTTTATATCACAAATGGTTTGCACTCTTAACAAGAGTAAGGGAACGTTACGTGGTCCGGCTTAGCGCATAATTTCTCGCTCTTGTGAAGCAATTTCTTACGTCGTGCACTCACGCTCGTACTTCACAGAACGGTGGGAAACATCACGTATAAGAAACAGCATGTAAAGCAAAAGTATTTGATTGAACTGGTATTTCTCTGGTCTAAAATAGCGTTATAAAATTTCTAACACTTTACCTTAAAATAATGATTTCTGCTTTTGAACTCGCACGCAGTCGGCTAGTTGCCCAATAACAATGGCTTTTTCATTTGGCTTTAAAAAGCGTAAGGCGGTGATACGCTCTCCAAAAAGAAGCAGCAAGCTCGTGTAAGACACAACGATTATACTGGCCAATGCAAGATCTATCCTTAGATTTAGAACTCAGTCTGTCTTTCTGTGACTGTCTATCTGTCCCTCTCTCTCTCTGCCGGTCTGTGTGCTTTTGTGCGGACGCATAGCTCTTGTGTTTGTTTGTTTCTCCCTTTCGCATTTTACTTTGCTTGATAGGATGCCAGAGAACCAGTCTTGGGTAAGTTACTTTTTAAAAAAAATAATTCGTTACCTTTAGTTACTCTCAGAAAAAAAGTAGCGAAGTTACCGTTACAGTTGCCGCAACAAAAGTGTAACTCGTTACAGTTACAGATACTTTTAAAAATAGCCAAGTTACTTTTAAGTTACTTTTATATAACACAAAATATTTAGCAAAAACTAGAAAACGCCCCTCACCAAGTTTAGTTGCATAAAATTAAAAGTGCGCCTTTTAGTTCATATTGTAACTTAGCAGCAGTTGCTTCTCGAAAGTATTATCTGAAAATTTCCCTCGTTTGATGGCAAACACGTCCCTGCCCTTGCTGAACAGGCGCTCAACTGGCGCCCTGGAAGGAATTGCATGGGGGCAAACGCGGACCCAATACAAATGCCCCATCCTCGGTAGCATTAGCACATTGCTGGCTCGTTGACGGTTGCGCTGGGTTCATAGAGTCGCTGGACATATTTCTGTTCGTACCCGCGGCAATCCAAAAACAAAACCCCGT